CAAATATTTGCAATAACCAAATCCACACATCAAATTATGCATCCCGAAATTGCTATGAAAACAATACCCACCAGAACCCCAAAATTTACGAAATTAATCAGCAAGCAAACACTACCGGGCATTACTGTAACTCAAGCCCGCCTCAGACCATGATACTACCGATAAGTGCACAAACAACCTTTTGTCAAGCAAACAGAAATTTCTCACCTCTCCCACCAAATCCCATCTTAGAAACTAAAAAGGCAGCCCAATTCTCCGCTCATACCTTGCAAATAAATCCTCCAACCCCCATATGCAACACAATTTACAGATCGCACTCATACTTCAACCACAATTACGAAAAAATAAATAAAAATTTGCTTTACCCTCGGCCGAGGGTCGATTACTCGAATTCCTCCACCTCCACCCTCTCTAAATACAAAAAGAAAGTGAAAACACCAGCAAAAACAAAAACGAAACAACCAAAATTAATTCCTACGGCCAACAATGCACTTCCACCAACAATTATTAAAACAACAACAACAAACCATCCACCCATTAATACAACAACAACTACTAAACCAACGTTTTGCAACAACAAATTCAGGAAGAAACACTCTTCTGCGAAGAAAAATTTAGCTAATAAAGGTAAAAATGTTTTTGCCACAAAAAACCCCACATTTTTTAATTCACATATACGTGCCCGTTCTTCAACTCAACACTTGACTGGTGGTGTTCGTCCTCAACCACTAATGTCTCTTCATGTGCCACGTCCACCTCACATCCAACACTTCCCTCAACCCCATCCCAACATGCCACAACAGAATTTCCAATTTGCTCAACTGCCCTACCAATTTAGCCCACTGGCACCAACACAATACTATTGGAACAAAAGAAATGGAATGTTTCCGTTGCTGGGGAATGTCGTTTCACGACTTTAAAGATTAAAGAATTTATTTTTAATTTCTAAATTTTTTCCTTTTTCAACGACACCTGCATTTAAAAACTTAAAAACAAAATTCCTTTCCTAGACCATTGGTTGTTTATTTTAAAATGTTTATCCCTCCCCTTTTTTATTCAACTGAATGTATCTGCTTTTTTTCATTATTCATTCTTCATACTTTTGCTTTTAACTTGTACGACTTTACTTTGCTCTGCCTTATAAAATATTCTTTTGCTGCTGATTTAGCCTTTGCTCTTCTAAAAATATTCTACAATTTTGCTCTGGACTTTACTTAAATTTTTGCTTTTCAACCTTTTTGCTAAAAACTGATTTTTTACTGCTTTGGATTAAATACATTTTGTTGGAAATTTTTAATTGCTTTAAAAAAAATTTCAATTTGTTTTGCTTGAAAAATTGTGTGAGTTTTTACTAGGCTTAATTTTTACTATTCGCGGATTTGCCCTTTTCCGCGACAGCTCAGCCGGTGAGGTTTAACACACCTCTTGCACCAATTCAAAAAAAAAATATAATCTCTTATAGCGGGAAAAATAAAAATGTCCTCCGGGTACCGCACCGAAATCATTACCTTGCTTGAGGACGCAGACACATTCCTTGCAGCTCCCGAATCATTCAATGTACCCTTGAAAGGACCCACTCAATCAAACGCCCAATTTTATGCTGCCATTCAAGCTTCCCTAGCAGACCTAAATCTTGAGTTCCAAAATTTATGCGAGATAGCTGATGACCTTTCCCAAGCACACTCTAACTGGATGTCGCTCAGAAGTAACATGACAGGCCCCGAACGTGTGGCCGATAATTCCGTTTATGACCAGTTTTACGCGCAATACCCCTATATAGAGACCCTCAACAAAATGAAGCAATACAAACGAAAATTACGCTCTTCGCGGCATTTACTAGAAGGAGCGCTACCCTCCTCTTCCACTCAATCCTCCTCGCATGCTCATATACCCAGAATGAACCTCCCATCTTTTAACGGCAAATCTGCCGACTTTCTTTCCTTTTGGAATCAATTTTCCGCTGCTATAGGAAATATCTCTTCCCTTTCCGACGCTGTAAAACTCTCCTATTTAAAATCCTGCCTGAATGGCCCTGCTCTCTGCCTAATCGAATCTTTACCACTCACCGACGATTCCTATGGCCAAGCAATCCACCTGCTAGAAAATAAATTTAATAATAAAGAAGAAATTGTCCGAAGCCTCTACCAAGCAATTAGAAATCTCCCAACCGTTCGAAAAGGAGAAAACTTCAACGAAGATTTTGCTACACTCACCGACAACCTAGAATCCATATTAATCCAATTTAGACAACATAATTCTGATTTTAATAATCCTTCAATTCTAATGGACATTGAAGCTAAACTACCAAATTTTGTATTAGAAGAAATATTTAAAACAAAAGAACAACACGCCGGGCATTGGACAACAGACGATTTAAAAGAATGCTTAAAAAATATTAGAAAAAGAAGGGAAGAAATTAATGCAGTTCACCCATCAAGACTGACTCCACAAAAACCAAATGTCCAACAATTGCCTCCTTTTCGATTGGACACACCCGTAAGTTACCGAAATTCTTTACCCTTTAACAGGCAACTGCCAACAAGAAATTTGCAAGAAAACCCTCCTTTAACCCTTTCCGCTGTGGCCAATCAACAAAATTATAGAAATCCCGGCTTTAGACATCCGTGCCTTTTCTGCAACGACACCAGCCACATTACCACCTACTGCAAAAACTTTCCGGAGCACAATTCCCGGATTTCCCGACTTAATGAATTAAACCTTTGCTCCCGATGCTTGCAGCCCAACCACAATTTTAAAAATTGCCCAAACCCTTCCCAATGTAAAAATTGCAATAAAATGCACCCTCGCCCCCTTTGCTATAAAATCCTTGCAAAATTTAGCCAGAAAGCAAATATTTGCAATAACCAAATCCACACATCAAATTATGCATCCCGAAATTGCTATGAAAACAATACCCACCAGAACCCCAAAATTTACGAAATTAATCAGCAAGCAAACACTACCGGGCATTACTGTAACTCAAGCCCGCCTCAGACCATGATACTACCGATAAGTGCACAAACAACCTTTTGTCAAGCAAACAGAAATTTCTCACCTCTCCCACCAAATCCCATCTTAGAAACTAAAAAGGCAGCCCAATTCTCCGCTCATACCTTGCAAATAAATCCTCCAACCCCCATATGCAACACAATTTACAGATCGCACTCATACTTCAACCACAATTACGAAAAAATAAATAAAAATTTGCTTTACCCTCGGCCGAGGGTCGATTACTCGAATTCCTCCACCTCCACCCTCTCTAAATACAAAAAGAAAGTGAAAACACCAGCAAAAACAAAAACGAAACAACCAAAATTAATTCCTACGGCCAACAATGCACTTCCACCAACAATTATTAAAACAACAACAACAAACCATCCACCCATTAATACAACAACAACTACTAAACCAACGTTTTGCAACAACAAATTCAGGAAGAAACACTCTTCTGCGAAGAAAAATTTAGCTAATAAAGGTAAAAATGTTTTTGCCACAAAAAACCCCACATTTTTTAATTCACATATACGTGCCCGTTCTTCAACTCAACACTTGACTGGTGGTGTTCGTCCTCAACCACTAATGTCTCTTCATGTGCCACGTCCACCTCACATCCAACACTTCCCTCAACCCCATCCCAACATGCCACAACAGAATTTCCAATTTGCTCAACTGCCCTACCAATTTAGCCCACTGGCACCAACACAATACTATTGGAACAAAAGAAATGGAATGTTTCCGTTGCTGGGGAATGTCGTTTCACGACTTTAAAGATTAAAGAATTTATTTTTAATTTCTAAATTTTTTCCTTTTTCAACGACACCTGCATTTAAAAACTTAAAAACAAAATTCCTTTCCTAGACCATTGGTTGTTTATTTTAAAATGTTTATCCCTCCCCTTTTTTATTCAACTGAATGTATCTGCTTTTTTTCATTATTCATTCTTCATACTTTTGCTTTTAACTTGTACGACTTTACTTTGCTCTGCCTTATAAAATATTCTTTTGCTGCTGATTTAGCCTTTGCTCTTCTAAAAATATTCTACAATTTTGCTCTGGACTTTACTTAAATTTTTGCTTTTCAACCTTTTTGCTAAAAACTGATTTTTTACTGCTTTGGATTAAATACATTTTGTTGGAAATTTTTAATTGCTTTAAAAAAAATTTCAATTTGTTTTGCTTGAAAAATTGTGTGAGTTTTTACTAGGCTTAATTTTTACTATTCGCGGATTTGCCCTTTTCCGCGACAGCTCAGCCGGTGAGGTTTAACACACCTCTTGCACCAATTCAAAAAAAAAATATAATCTCTTATAGCGGGAAAAATAAAAATGTCCTCCGGGTACCGCACCGAAATCATTACCTTGCTTGAGGACGCAGACACATTCCTTGCAGCTCCCGAATCATTCAATGTACCCTTGAAAGGACCCACTCAATCAAACGCCCAATTTTATGCTGCCATTCAAGCTTCCCTAGCAGACCTAAATCTTGAGTTCCAAAATTTATGCGAGATAGCTGATGACCTTTCCCAAGCACACTCTAACTGGATGTCGCTCAGAAGTAACATGACAGGCCCCGAACGTGTGGCCGATAATTCCGTTTATGACCAGTTTTACGCGCAATACCCCTATATAGAGACCCTCAACAAAATGAAGCAATACAAACGAAAATTACGCTCTTCGCGGCATTTACTAGAAGGAGCGCTACCCTCCTCTTCCACTCAATCCTCCTCGCATGCTCATATACCCAGAATGAACCTCCCATCTTTTAACGGCAAATCTGCCGACTTTCTTTCCTTTTGGAATCAATTTTCCGCTGCTATAGGAAATATCTCTTCCCTTTCCGACGCTGTAAAACTCTCCTATTTAAAATCCTGCCTGAATGGCCCTGCTCTCTGCCTAATCGAATCTTTACCACTCACCGACGATTCCTATGGCCAAGCAATCCACCTGCTAGAAAATAAATTTAATAATAAAGAAGAAATTGTCCGAAGCCTCTACCAAGCAATTAGAAATCTCCCAACCGTTCGAAAAGGAGAAAACTTCAACGAAGATTTTGCTACACTCACCGACAACCTAGAATCCATATTAATCCAATTTAGACAACATAATTCTGATTTTAATAATCCTTCAATTCTAATGGACATTGAAGCTAAACTACCAAATTTTGTATTAGAAGAAATATTTAAAACAAAAGAACAACACGCCGGGCATTGGACAACAGACGATTTAAAAGAATGCTTAAAAAATATTAGAAAAAGAAGGGAAGAAATTAATGCAGTTCACCCATCAAGACTGACTCCACAAAAACCAAATGTCCAACAATTGCCTCCTTTTCGATTGGACACACCCGTAAGTTACCGAAATTCTTTACCCTTTAACAGGCAACTGCCAACAAGAAATTTGCAAGAAAACCCTCCTTTAACCCTTTCCGCTGTGGCCAATCAACAAAATTATAGAAATCCCGGCTTTAGACATCCGTGCCTTTTCTGCAACGACACCAGCCACATTACCACCTACTGCAAAAACTTTCCGGAGCACAATTCCCGGATTTCCCGACTTAATGAATTAAACCTTTGCTCCCGATGCTTGCAGCCCAACCACAATTTTAAAAATTGCCCAAACCCTTCCCAATGTAAAAATTGCAATAAAATGCACCCTCGCCCCCTTTGCTATAAAATCCTTGCAAAATTTAGCCAGAAAGCAAATATTTGCAATAACCAAATCCACACATCAAATTATGCATCCCGAAATTGCTATGAAAACAATACCCACCAGAACCCCAAAATTTACGAAATTAATCAGCAAGCAAACACTACCGGGCATTACTGTAACTCAAGCCCGCCTCAGACCATGATACTACCGATAAGTGCACAAACAACCTTTTGTCAAGCAAACAGAAATTTCTCACCTCTCCCACCAAATCCCATCTTAGAAACTAAAAAGGCAGCCCAATTCTCCGCTCATACCTTGCAAATAAATCCTCCAACCCCCATATGCAACACAATTTACAGATCGCACTCATACTTCAACCACAATTACGAAAAAATAAATAAAAATTTGCTTTACCCTCGGCCGAGGGTCGATTACTCGAATTCCTCCACCTCCACCCTCTCTAAATACAAAAAGAAAGTGAAAACACCAGCAAAAACAAAAACGAAACAACCAAAATTAATTCCTACGGCCAACAATGCACTTCCACCAACAATTATTAAAACAACAACAACAAACCATCCACCCATTAATACAACAACAACTACTAAACCAACGTTTTGCAACAACAAATTCAGGAAGAAACACTCTTCTGCGAAGAAAAATTTAGCTAATAAAGGTAAAAATGTTTTTGCCACAAAAAACCCCACATTTTTTAATTCACATATACGTGCCCGTTCTTCAACTCAACACTTGACTGGTGGTGTTCGTCCTCAACCACTAATGTCTCTTCATGTGCCACGTCCACCTCACATCCAACACTTCCCTCAACCCCATCCCAACATGCCACAACAGAATTTCCAATTTGCTCAACTGCCCTACCAATTTAGCCCACTGGCACCAACACAATACTATTGGAACAAAAGAAATGGAATGTTTCCGTTGCTGGGGAATGTCGTTTCACGACTTTAAAGATTAAAGAATTTATTTTTAATTTCTAAATTTTTTCCTTTTTCAACGACACCTGCATTTAAAAACTTAAAAACAAAATTCCTTTCCTAGACCATTGGTTGTTTATTTTAAAATGTTTATCCCTCCCCTTTTTTATTCAACTGAATGTATCTGCTTTTTTTCATTATTCATTCTTCATACTTTTGCTTTTAACTTGTACGACTTTACTTTGCTCTGCCTTATAAAATATTCTTTTGCTGCTGATTTAGCCTTTGCTCTTCTAAAAATATTCTACAATTTTGCTCTGGACTTTACTTAAATTTTTGCTTTTCAACCTTTTTGCTAAAAACTGATTTTTTACTGCTTTGGATTAAATACATTTTGTTGGAAATTTTTAATTGCTTTAAAAAAAATTTCAATTTGTTTTGCTTGAAAAATTGTGTGAGTTTTTACTAGGCTTAATTTTTACTATTCGCGGATTTGCCCTTTTCCGCGACATATATGCCGTAATAAGAAGGTAAAAGTTCCATTTAATTTTGTGTCCAGATTTGACAAAATCCGGAACCTGGACCAAGTCCTTTGGAATGAGAATGACCAATAGAACAAAGACTTTTCCCTTCTCTACAGTGAATAAATATCCCAATAAAAGAAGCCCTTGCCCCATTAGAAGCTTTTACGGATATCTGAGAAAGAGGTCAGTCGGAATTTCGATTTCCGCTAGTTCAGAGTAGGAAACACCCGACCCCCGAAACCCGACTATTTTTTGGCAAAAACCCCGACCCGGACCAAGAAGGCTCACCCCGACATCCTGCCCCCAAAGACTTGGGGTGCTACCCTAGTTCAGAGTTCAATAATTTTGCGATTATTTCCTATTTACGAGTTGCGACTTTTGAGCTTTCTGAGTTCCGACAATTCCGTTTCCGGCGCCTTAATTTCCAAACCCCGGGGAGATTCAATTTTTTATTTCCATATTTTCAACGACATTAACTACCAATTTTCATAACATCATCATCATCAAATAGAAATAAATGTTTTGTTGCTTCTCTATAAACAAGTTTACTTCCATAAGACACACTTTTAAAATACTCTTTATATTCATCCCGTATGTTTTCCAAAAATTTTCTTATATTTTGCTCCATTTGAGGGACATTCTCAGGCTTTACAAGATCACAAGCTTTCAATGTTCCGTTACTTTAATTAGGAATTTTTAATTATTTGTTCAGAGTAAAAGAAAACAAAATAGGTATGCGCGAGGACCAAATTAGTGACCGAAACAGGGGGAGCGCAAGAGACAATCTCAATAACGCAATGCGAGGCCAAAATTTGACGCAAATAACGCAATGGACAAAAATAACGCAAATAATAGTACGGTAATACAGCAGTATTTTCCGGTATCGGTGTTTTTCCGGTGAAATACCTGCGGTATCGTAACGGTCGTTTCTATAAAAATCGGAATTTTTCGGTTTCGGTATTTACCGAAAATACCGGTAACGGAAAACGCATTTGAATTACACTACTTTATACTATCACAAGGTGAGTGTTTATATAATAAATAATATAAGTTTTGGATTTTTTGATTCCGCAATTGTAATACCATGCAAACTTGTAGAAGAAAATTAAAATTAATTTAACTTACTCTGGGTTGGCAATCTTAAAATTGATAAATTTAATAGTTAATTAAATTTAAAATCCGTATATTGTTAAAATGCGGATTTCCATCATTTTTAAAATTTTTATTTAAAAGAGTTCGAACCCGACCGGACCGGGATTTACGAGCCTTGAGGTCTAGTAGCTCGGAAACCGGATATTTGAACCTGTTGGATAGGGTTAAACCTGGTTTTGGGGGCTGCTGGAAAGTCTCGCCCGGGTCAGTTTGAAAGAAAACCCCGGATACCAAACCCGTATTATCACCCAGATTACCATTACCATACCCCCCACATACCACCCCATATACCCCCCCCCATATACCCTCCCCCACCTTCCTCTAATGTAAACTATCAACCTCAAAATATAGCTTATTTTCTTCTTGAACATACATTTCCATTTCTTGACCAATAAAATCACAATGTTTTTCATCAACTTTTATGTTTTCATTCATAAACAAGGCCATCATAACCGAAAGCATTTCGCCTTTCTTTTCGTGATTTGATTTGATCCTTTTAACTTTGTCTCTTATGTTTTTAAAATGCTTTGAATATCCTCTGATATTAATTCCATTTGTTTGTTCAAGCATACCGTTCAAATAATTTAAATAATCCTGACTTGTTATGTGCTTCAACTCTTTGAGATTATTTTTATAGTCCCTTTGATAATCTTAAATATTATTGTAATTTATAGGGCGATCTGTCCCGTTGTATTAGGACAACCTCTCTAACGAGTTTTTGCCTGGAGTTGGACGAGGGCGAGGGTTAAACCGAGACCGAGGATCACCGAGGCGGGTAACGCCGAGGTTGATAGGCAAATTGTGGTCGAGGTCCGAGGATCCTTTCCTACTGGCCAATAATTATCTTTAATATTCCGACCTCCTCTTTTCGTCACTACTTGTTCCACAGCCTTCCCAAATCCTCTTAACGCGCTCACCACCTTTTTCTTTGCCGCCTTTGGAGTTTTGATAACAAGGTTTTTAGTTTCTTCGATTGTTTTATCCATCGCTCGATCGAAAGAAGTCCTGGATGAATGCCCGGCAGAAAATTGGACTTCCCTTGCTATTTTATCCTTTCGTCGTCCTCCAATGATTTCATTAGCCATAGCCAACAAAATAATCAAAGAGAAAAAAATTGTTTGAAGCCTCATTTAAGAAAATTTTTTTCTAATTTTAAAAATTATATTAATAAGAGTGAATAATGTTAAAAAGATCGAGCCAAATTTTTAAAATCTTTTGGCATTTATTTTTTATATGTACCAGGGTGGGCTTTATTGAAGGAACACTGAAGCCCGGCTCCGAGAGCCCCTTTCTTAACTCTACAGTCTACTATGTATAGGAGAATCTCTCAAAATTAAAAAAATATTTTCTTAAGTAAATATAAAAAATAAAATTATAAAAAAATAAAATGGAGGCCAGAGTCCTAATTTCCCCTCCTTATAAAAATAAAATTCTTTAAAGAGGGGAGGGATTTATTTTCTCTTGTAAGGAGAGCTTTTCCAAATAAAGGATCGAAATTTCGAATCTGATCTTTTCAGGGCTATTCGAACTTTCGATTTCCGGATTTTAAACGGCATTGATCATTAGCTGCAAAGCGCTTTGTAGTGAAAGGCTAGCTAGCCTGTAGTGGGACGAGTTGGGTATTTTTAGACTATTGGGCATTTTGGGATGGGACGAATTGGAAAATTAAGCGTGATGCGCTAACGTGAATGCGCTATCTTTCCGATAGATTTTATTTGCCAATAAATAATTATTTACATATAAAGGACATTTAAAATAGATCTTTTTAAGAAATAGGATACAAAATTAAATTTAATGGCAAAAATAAAGGCAATGATGAAAGGCAAAATTTATTAAATAAATTTAATTTTTAAATTTTTTACCGTAATCCTAACTTACTTTAAGACCAGAGGATTTTTGTAGTGAGGATTATAAGAGAGTAAAGAGTATTAGGTATATCCATTAAGGCATATAGGGAAGAGAGAGCAAAGTTTAAGCTGCTTGCTTGAATAAATTACCGTATTGTCTCTAATAGAAGCCCATCTCCAATAGAAGCCCATGCCCTAATAGAAGCCCACCCAATGAGGGGTATTGAAAAATAGAGGCCCAGGGCTTGTATTAGAGACAATACGGTATATAGATTATTTTGAAATAGGCTTATTTGAAAGCCCTTGAATTCTAAAATTCAATATTTAGAGGATTTTTTTTAGGATTTTTCCTAACATTTTTTTCCTACGTTAGTAATGTCAGTCACATTCGCCAAGAAAGGTTCCCTCAGCTTTTGAATTTAAATTTTAAGGACATTTAGATTTGATGATTTTTAACAAAATTTGAAGCATTGAGTGGTTAAAACAAATGGATATAATTTTTCATTTAAGTCATATTTTTTGATTTTAGTGTCATTCTACTCAGCTCGAAGAGCTTTCCTAAGAAAGATAACTTTAAGACGATTAATTGTTTTGCTGTTTGTTTTTTTTTGTAGAAAGTAGTGATGCTCGGGAATGAGAATTTACCGAGCATTCAAAAACCCGTTAAATTTCTCGATTCTAAAATCGAGAATCTTAAGCATCCCTAGCAGAAAGCTCTTCAAATTAAACTTTAAAAATTTAGAATAATTTTTTGAATTTATTTGTCATGAAAAAGAATTTCAAAAAAGTTGTTTATTAAACATTATTTTAATTTTTGATAAACACTTAACATCAATTTCCTATAATTTTGTATCTTTTTTCGAATTCGGCCTTTTCCCATCCATAGTTTGGGTGGTCACATATCTCCATTTGGTCAAATCCTTTTTTCATACACTCATCCTAAAAATTAAAAATGAGTGGCTCTTGTCCAGTTTATGCGTCCCATGGAGATTTACGCGTCCCATGACGATTTGTGCGTCCCATGACGATTTATGCGTCCTATGAAATTAATTTATAAAATTTGAACAAATATTGGTCCCATGGATGGGGGAAGTTCGACTGGGGAAGTTGTTCCAGGGCTCGGAAAATTTGTTCCAACATTTGAGAACAAATTGTGATTTTGTTCCAAGAAATGCGAGAACAGGAAGTCTGTTCCGACAAACAGGAGAGTGTTGCAAGAGCGGGGGAAGTTGTTCACAGACCAGGAAATGTTGTTAAACTAACTGGGTTTGTTCCATAAGGGCTTTGGTAAAGTTGTTCCTCATCACCCTTGTTTAACATTATCAGAAATTGAATAAATTTTTGTCGCGGTACCTTGGGCGGCGGTACCTTGGCATGCTCCCGGTCCCATCACGATTTATGTTCTTCCATTGTTATCTTTTAATTTTCTAATATTTTTTTAAATTTTTTCAATTCATTTCATGGGACGCATAAAATTTTCATGGGACGCATAAATCGTGATGGGACGCATAAATCTCCATGGGACGCGTAAATCTCCATGGGACGCATAAACTGGACAAGAGCCAAATGAGTTTTTGAGAGTAGACATTTAAAGGGCTTTTAGTGTTCTCGATGTGTTTCTGCTCTTAAAAATTTTCTTTACGAATCTTTACGAATGTCAAAATGAGTATAGGACTTATGCGTACGGACATTTGTGGACAATACGACAAAAATTGAAATATGCCTGATATAATCTTTCAGATTTTTAGGTCTAATTGGGTCAAAACCTGCACGAAATGTTTCATTTCAATTTCGTCTTGTTTCGTTTTACGTGAAAAATTTTTTCGAGTTTCGTGTAGATCTTAAAAAAATTACCTCGCTCTCCTTTTGGGCACAATAATATTTATTTTTATTATTTTCCACACAACTACGAGTTGAATAGAAATTAACATATTTACTACCAGTCTCCTTTTCAAACCATTCTACATAATCTGGAGCATTAAATAATAAATCCATCAAATCAATAAAATTTTGTTGAGTCTTAGGATTCCGCATGGAAAGAGTTGGTTTGTAATCCTTAATCCACTCGTCCTCAAATTTAAAATCATGGGCACAGCACTAAAATGAAAAGAAATTAGATATTTTTTGTGGATAAATGACCTCCTTTCTAGAAAGCCTCCTTTTTAACTTTGCTGCTTCTAACTTGTCTTATACTTAAAATGTGTGAGGGAAAGAATGATATGCTGTAACTCAAATAGCGGTGGGGGCATGATAAGAACAAAGTACCCTTAGTCTAATATACAGACAGTAATCTATCTTTATACCCATAAAGATACCATTATTAGAATAACTAAAAAAACTGTGGCGTCTAAAGCATTCGTTAATCCGACAGTATCATAGTTTATGACAACAGATATATTCCCTTCTATAAATTTAATTCCATACTTCCTTTTTCTTATTCAATATGTAGCAGTTTGTTCGAAATAAAACATAATACCAAATATTCTTAGCACTTTCGAAAGGTACAGCCACCTCTTTCTTGAAAATTCCATTAGTGACTACAACATCCAAGAAAATATAATACTAAAATTGAGTGTGGATTCAAAGATTTTTTAGATGTACGAGGTTGTTTGATTCAAGCCTGGGATCAAACAGCAATAATAAAGCCTGAGAAAAAAGTCTTAGGCTTTTGCTACAGAAGCCTGAGACCATATATGTTTTTGATTTAGTAACTAGAAGCGAATTTGAGGACCGGTTGGGTTGTACGATCAATATATTTCGAAATTCTTTATCTTGATAACCTAGAATTCTGAACAATTCCCATCTCTGTCCGATTTCTAGTTCAATCAAAGCTTGTTTTAGATACCTTCAATATTTGATAATAGGGTTTTGTCTGTAAGTTTCGACCCAGAAAACAGACGATCTTCGGTTACGATCTTCGGTCTGTTTCGGATATTTGGAGATTTGGAGACCCCTCACTTGTAACCCGTAATAGATACACCCTTCATTTAAGCTGACTTTTTTAAAGTTGGTAGGACAGTTAGGGCGCTGCATAAGCGATAACTTAATATCTAACAATAAGTAGGTAACGTTCACAATTTTTCAAAATTCAATGTAGATAAAATATAACTCACTGGAGCAGTTAATGCTCTACTATAATAAAACATTAGGCGTCCACTAGCCGGCTCTGTGCCACATTTAAATTGCAAATCAAATTTCAAATTAGAGGTTTTAGTTTCATCAGAATTACTTATAACAAATATTATGCACATAGAAATTAAAAGGGTGAAGAAAATAAAATTTGAAGAAAACATTTTGAATTTTCTGAAAATACTTTGGTAGGTTTTTTGGTACATTTTAGGTTTGTTTTTTGGTATATATATGTATGCGAGATATTATATGCTATTTTTTGCTACCCCAATTATTAGTGAATATTTTTAAGATTTTAGTGAATATATAGTTAGAAGAAATGTGTATGGTTACACGGAAACCGATCCTAAAAAAATTTTCAAAAATTAAAAAATATATCAATAACTACAGCCGGACCTCACTTTAGAGGGTTGTCGGATAGTTGTAAATCTTCGGATATCCGGATCCGGTATCCGAACCGAAATTTTCGGATATCCTGCATTTTTCCGATCCAGATTTTTTTAAATAATGACGGCGCAAAAGTCGCGGCGCAAAAGTCGTGATACCAAAAGAAAATAGGGATACAGGCGTGGTTGTGGATGTGCGTGGCACCGGGATCGAATGGATTAAAGGAATGTCGTTGCTTTATTTAACACTAGTTGATACATGAAAATGAAAAATGTGACACTTAATTCAGCCAACTAACCATTTTTAACCAATTTTTTAAAGATTTTATAGTCAGCCTTAAGGGTGTGGCTTACATATAGTGTTCCATTTAGGAATAATTTCTCTTCCAAATATTTAATAAATTAATTAGCAATCTAGCAATAACATAGCCTTATGTTAAACTAATGCTAACATACCCTCCAATTTATTTTTAAATAAAAAAATTATTTTTTATGAATCACTACATATATTTAATTTTATTTAATTTTGTATATAGAATTATTTGTATATGGGAAAATAATTTTAAATTCTAATTATATGATTGAATCATCATGCTATTTTAAGTAAAATTTTTATATTTTAGATTAAAAATTTTTTAATTAGACTATCAATAGTATAGACAGCTAATTTAAAAAATCGAAATATTAATCAAGGGGAGGGGGAAGTATTATTATTATTTTTAATTACTTTTTAATGAAAATAAATAATAATAAAGAATTCTTGATAAAAATTTAAATTTTTAAACATTTTTATATCTGTTTTGAATTAACATAAAAATTTATAAAAAATAATTTTTCTCAAAGTTTAATTAAAATATTTGGATTTTTCGTTAATAAAAAATAACACTTAAATTTAATTTCCATTATCAGAATTTCAGGAATATTTAGTTGGGCAGATGTTTTTAATTAGAATATTTATGCATTTTTCTGGTCACAAAATAATTCAAAAAAATTTTTTATATTTTATTCCAAAATTTAAAATAATTATTAAAAATTATTTTTCATGAAAAGATTTCTTTAAGCTTTTCTTCTAGCTTTTTTAAGATTTCTTTACGTTTTTGCTTGAACCAATTCTTAACCCAATTATTATCTACATCACAATTATTATTTGGATGGGTAACATCTATTCTCTGCCATTCTTCGTCTCTTTCGAATGAAGCTTGTACCAGTCCATATTTTGGATAATCACAAATTTCCTCCATTTGTTCAAAGCCTTCTTTCAAAATGTCTTTCTAAAAATCAAAAAAAAATTAAAATGCAATATCTAAGGGAATTTTGGGAATTTTGTACCAGACTAGCACGTGGATACGGATATGGATACAGATATTATAAAAATCCGTGCGGATATCCGTTTGTATCCGCCGTAAATATGCGGATACGGATACCAAAATCAGTATCCGTGCGCTAGTCTGTTTTGTACTCGCATTTCTATGATAAAAATTTGGGTACTATCCGTTTATATCCCCGCAATTCTGCAAATGTTTGTCCGCACTTTTTTTCATTCTTTCTCCTTATAAAGGATTTGAAACGGTCAAGTTAACACCCATTTTTTCTTCGCCTTCTTTCTCCTCTCATAAAGATGAAAATGTTCAAGTAAAAGTAGAGGAAGACAAATTTTCGCCTATGGAAAAATATAAAGGTAAAAATAAAAGAATGTTTAGAAATTATTTCGGTAATAGTTTGTTTGGTACCCCCCCTGAACCGAAATACGGGCCTATGAACATTTCGAATAAAAACCGTTTGTACAAACAAATACTCATTTGAAGCAGTTTGAGCCATATATCTCGGTCCACAGGCATTTACGGGAAAAAAGAGTGTTACCGTTCGACTCGGCACCTTTTATTACCCATATATGACATTTTGAGCATTAATTTATGGGGTGTGGCAGAACGGAAAAGTACCAATAAGGGAGAAAGGGAAGGAAAAATGAAAAAATGGTCAGAAAAATGGTAGGGGGGGGGTACCAAACAAACTATTACCGAAATAATTTCTAAACATTCTTTTATTTTTACCTTTATATTTTTCCATAGGCGAAAATTTGTCTTCCTCTACTTTTACTTGAACATTTTCATCTTTATGAGAGGAGAAAGAAGGCGAAGAAAAAATGGGTGTTAACTTGACCGTTTCAAATCCTTTATAAGGAGAAAGAATGAAAAAAAGTGCGGACAAACATTTGCAGAATTGCGGGGATATAAACGGATAGTACCCAAATTTGTTCAGGGCTTTTTTCCTTAAAGTAACCATTCGACTCAGCTCGAGGAGCTCTTTCGAAAGATTTATAATTTGGCAAAAAAGAGAATAGGAAAATGAGCGGAGGGGTCTAAACCAAACTATTATTGCAATATCTTATTGAGTCCATGATTAAATGGGTAAGACGCTCGAAAAATTTCTGAGGGTTGTGTAGGTCTGGATTTGTCTAGAAAAGCCGTTGACACAAATAAAAAATTTACCTCACTATTCTCGCGGCTGGAATAAAATTTATTTGAATTGTTTTCCACACAACTACGAGATACTTGATAAGCACTATATTTATTACAAGAATCCATTTGAGCCCATCTTTGATAAGTTGAAGCATTTACCAATAAGTCTTTCAAATCAACATAATTTTGGCCTGTTTTTGGATTATTCATAAAAAATTTAAATTCACATTTAGTCTGATTTAAATCATTTTTGTTGTAATTAGATATTATCCACGAGTTTTTTTGTTTGCAACCCTCATTTTTAAGTTTACCACAAATAAAGTCATTTCCAGTAAATGGATGGGAACATCCAAGAAATTTGAAGTCCTGAGCGCAGCACTAATAATAAAGAAAAATTAATTATTTTGTGAATAAATTCGCAGCTCTTCGGCACTTTTTCACGGATTAATATCCCCTACTTTATAAGATAGATATGTATATTTTCTGCTATCCATGACAGGGATGTAAATCGGGCTGGGGTTTCAAAATTTTCTTCGGCTCGGGGTTCGAGTCGAGAATATTTTAAAAAAAAAAGGTCGGAAAAAGTCTCGACTAACCCATTACTTTCCTAATTTAAAGTATCTATATGAATTTAATTTCATACTTGCTTGTTTCCATTTATTACAGGTTGTTCGAAACAATTTGTTCTAAATAGAACATCAAAAGAATATTTAGCCCCACGAGGAAAAGGTACAACAACATCCTTTTTAAAAATTCCATTAATAACCACAACATCCAATACATTTGTATACTAAAAGTGGGAATTGATGTAAAAATTAATTAATATTTTGAGTTTATCTATGTTGGTACCCGGGGTCATATAATAAAATTACGATAGTATAGAGAAGGGTTTGAGGATTAATCGAGGTTGATATCTCAATCAGACATGCACGAAACGTTTCGTTTCGTTTCGTTGTTTCGTTAGTTTCGTTATGTTTTTTCCTGTTTCGTCTCGTTTCGTGACGAAACACTTTTTAGATTGTTTCGTTTCGTTTTGTTAACGAAACACCTCTGTTTCGTTAACGAAACATTACACATTTTTTAGACCAAAATATTACCCAAAAATTGAAAAATTTTCCCCTTTGGTGATCAAAATTCAAAAAAATTTTCGCCTGCGGCGCTGAAATCTGGATTTTAAGCGCCTACGGCGCATAATTTACTATATTTTTTTGAATTTCTCGTTTGATTTTGTTTTTTTAATATGCAAAGCTCAAATTCTATGTTAGATTAGGCATATAGAATCGATCTACCTCTTAATGCCAATCAGGGCAGGCGCAAGAGTTTGAATAAAGTTTAGTTTTAATAAACGAACACGCAACTGATGGCAATGATCACGAATTGATTGCCTTTTTTCGGGTCTGTTTCTATCGAGTCGGGCTAATCATTAACGTTGTTATCAACAAAAAATCTGAGTTGAGAAATATCATTGGATTTCTAGATCAATGGTGTTATAGGAAATTGGGAGAGAGTAAACGGGATATCGGTGGATTTGTAGGGTTTAAAATTTTTACAAAAATGTCGGGAATCAGGAACGGGTTTAGAGGAATTTCTGACAAAATTAATTTACGATTTTAGGGAATCAGGAAACGGGTCGGCAGGTCCCTGATATACACATATTCTCAACACATAATTCGATTAAAGTCGATTTGGTGGAATTAAGGCTGATATAGTGGATTATGAGTCAAACGCGAAAGTTTTGTAGCCTGGGACCACAATTTAAGGTCCCACTAAGCTATTAGATCAATTATAGGCCATAACTGGCCTATTAACGTCTCTAAAATCGAATAATTAATAAAATAAAACCGTTTTTATTAAATTTTTTGAAAATTAAAATGTTTCGTTTTGTTTCGTTTCGTTTCGCTAAATTTTTACTGTTTCGTCTCGTTTCGTTAACGAAACGATTTTTAAAAAATTTTGTTTCGTTTCGTTTCGTCTGAAAAAATTTTGGAGTTTCGTGCATGTCTGATCTCAATTCTTGAGTGGGAGCTTTTTCGGTCCGATTTTTAATACGTAAAGCCGCATTTTCACTGGGTGAGAGAGCTGGTGAGGTAGATTTGGTGAGGGAAACTTTGTTAGTGGGCGAGCCTGGGTGATAGAGCCCTTAAGAGATAACCCCATCCAAGGAATAACCCCAGCCTCTCGTAATTTACAATTTCTAGACCAGAGGGATATTTAAAAATATAAGTACTCACTCCGCTATACATTGCTTTACGGTAATTAACCATTAGACGTCCATTGGCAAGTTCATCTCCACATTTAAATTTCAAATTAAATTTAAATTTGACATAAAGACAATTAACGTTTATTATGCCAACAAAAATTAAAAAGTTGAAGAAAATAAAATTTTGAAAAAACATTTTGAATTTGTTGGAAATATTTGTTAGTTTATAATAATTTTCGAATATATTGAGGCCTTAAGTTTGTGCAAATCTTGCTATTTTTTGTGTATGATTCACAAAAATAAGATAATTTTGAATTTACAATTTTTGATGATTTTTTGTTAGAACAATCGTTTTATTATTTTTTCAAAATAAATTTTGGATATAGTGTAGTGTACAGGTGGTAAAAGTTCGGGACGTGACATATGTCATTCGATTCGTCTCGACGAGCTGAGTCGAATGGTACCACTCCCTACTTTAGGAAATGATTCTGGGCCGAGTTATAGGTCCCGAAAAATTGAAAAACCATAGGGGGGAGTAAGCTCGATTTTGGGGTGAAAAATTCGAATATGCAAATAATAGCTCTTTCGAAAGAGCTCGTCGAGCTGAGTCGAATGACACCAAAATCAGCTTGATTGTAAAAGTTTGGACAAAGTTACAATCGAAAAACTAACAGCATAAACCTATGGGGCGTCGGCGAGGCGCTTGTGCAAAACCCCGCGCTTCGCGCGGGGTTTTGCGGCACGCGCCTCGCGGGGAGTCTACGGGCGCTGGGTCTGGGCTCGTAACATAAACCTAGTCCCATCTCCCTTGCTCTGGATGTACTTGGGGCTCCAGTACCAGCAAAAACCTCCACGGGCGCCATAGGTAAGGAGCTAAAACAAACGAGCATAACTTTGTCAAATCAAGTCAGATTTCGTTGATTTTGGTATCATTCGACTCGGCTCGACGAGCTCTTTCGAATGAGGTATAATTTGTATATTCGAATTTTTTACCCCAAAAAAGTGCTTGGTCCCCCCTTTGGTTTTTCAATTTTTCGGGATCTATAACTCGGCCCAGAATCATTTCCTAAAGTAGAGAGTGGTACCATTCGACTCAGCTCGTCGAGACAAATCGAATGACATATGTCACATCCCGAACTTTTACCACCGGTACACTACACTACAGCCTAAATTTTATATTAGAAAATATTTTTTACATTGATACATATTACTTTTTAAGTTTCTCATAGAAAACATTATCTTGAAAAATAAAAAAAATTTTTTAAAGATTATTCATATGAAATTAATTTTACCTATAAACGTTACTCATTTTGAAATGTGATTATTTTATTTTTATAATGGTAATATTTATATTTTTTATTAAAATCTTTATTTCACAATTTTCAACGCGAAAAGTTTCGCATTTTATTTTTAGAAAATCTATATTAAGAAAAATCTAAAAATAAATTTTAAATAATTTATTCTCCATTAATAATTCATAAATTATAAACCCCAAGCTAAAAACTAATAAAATTTTTTACAAAATTTTTAAATTTTACACTTCCAAATTCTCTTCAAACCATTTTCTATAAAAAATAGCTTCTTCAGCCATTTCTTTTGGGGAACGTTTTTCTTTGTCTAATTTAGCATCGTGATTTTGTAATTTTGAATAAATTTGGTCTGGATCTCCTCCTCCAAAATCGCCTTTTTTACGTGGAATTATATGAACATGTACATGCTTAAAGGATGATTTAATTATAAAATAAGCCTAAAAATAATTTTAATTTTGGTTGATTTTGAACAATTTAAACAAGCGGGAATAATATACCGTAAACATCTTAATATCACCCCATATCCTATTTAAAGCCCATTCAATACTATCCACTTAACAAATAAATGCAAAAGGCTTCTATATTTGGATATTGACAGTGGTTGAACCTCGATATGATCCCGCCGGGATGAAAACTCGTGTCTTATAATGAGAAAGCTTAAATAGGGGAAAGACCTTTGAGATAGGAGGTTATCTCAGTGGCCACTCAGATTTAACAAAAAAGTATATCAATTGAGGAGTATCTTATGTAGGAAGTATCTAAAAAGTATGGTCTGTCTGAATAATCCAATGAGTTCTGACCTTTAATAGCGGTTCTATTCCCGCTAACAATGCTGAAAGGACCCCAAAAAAAAATTTCAAAAAAAACCTTATTCAAATTTATTTTCTTAAAAATACCAATTTTCCCCCCGCCCCTCTCTTCCATATTTCTATCTCATTTTTAGTTTCGAATCTTTTTTTTAATATTTTTAAAAAAAAGTCTCACTTCAACAGTTTGTCCAGCGTGTTCTCCATCTTGTACACAAACCGTAGCACAATTTGTTTGATAAATTTGACATAACATTTTTTCTACTTTTTTGGCTAATATAAATAAATCTGCTGTTGTTTGGTCATCCAAATCAGTTAAACGTTTTAATCCTTCTTTTATTGGTGAAATTAATACATCTTTAAAATTTAAAAAAAAATTTCTTGCTTGAAAAAATTTTTCTAGAATTCTCCAAAACCATAATCTCAGTCTAAAAAATATTTGGAAGGGTTCGAACCCATGACCCCTTTTTATAAAAAATACCACTTAACCAAGAGGTCATTTTTTGCCATTTTTAACCCTGATTTTTTAATTTAAAAAATAAATTTTCTGATTAAAAAATAAAATAATTTTTCTTACGTCCAGGTAATAAAGGCATTAAATTAACAAAAGCATAACAATGTGCACTCTTATAAAAACATTGGGAACCATCAATTTTTAAATGACCAAAATGGAAAAGATCAGAATCTAAAAAATTATAAAATATATTTTTTAATTGAATTTTTGAGTATTTTTAAACAAAAGACAAAATCCTTAGTCTAAAAAATATTTGGGAGTCAAAAGGGTTCGAACCCACGACCTTTTTTATAAGAAATACCACTTAACCAAAAAAATATTTTTTGATTCTCCCCTAAAATCCCCAACTCCAGATATTTTGCGACTATTAAATATGATATCAGAGAATATTTCCCACTGAATATTCAAGAAATGCTCTTTTTGGACGTCTATTGGAAAGGGGGCTCGATTGGAAATTAAATAATAAGCTGATTTTTGAAAAATTAAAAATAAAAATACCATTAATTTCCCGTTTTTCATTAAAATATAATGAATACAAGTCGGAGCGTCTATGTTCAAAAACAGGTTGATTTCGTCTAACTTCATCTACATAATCCAAATCGAGTTCAGCAAAACATAAATCTATGTGTAAACAAATTATTAAAAAAAAATTTTAGTGAGAAGGAAGAGAAAATTTCGATGACTGGTGGTCGTATATTGGAGAGGGGCAATACCCGAAATAAAAAAAATTCTAGGAAAGTTAACTAGAGACCGGATGGAGATGAGATCACGAAAAAAATCTCGAAGTTTTCGAGAATATAGAATTTTCGAGATAACAATTCTCAGTTGATCCTGCCAGTCCAGTCGCTAAGGTTACCTTTCCTCTTCCCTTCATAAAATCCAAAAAAAAACCTTCTCTTTCAGAACATTGTGCTATTATTGCCCCCCACGGATCAACTACCATTGAATGACCATAAGACGATCTCTTATCGTTATGTTTTCCAGTTTGAGCTGGAGCAACTATGTAACATTGAGTTTCTATTGCACGAGCTCGAAGAAGAGCCTAACAATAAAATTTTTTGAATTTTTAAAGAATTTTAAATAAACCTCCCAATGTGCCAATCCTGTTGTTACGGTGAAAGAAGATGGAAAAGAAAGGATTTGAGCTCCTAAAAGATATTGAAAAAAATTAGAAGGAAAATGACTCGAATCGGGGTCAATCCAACGTAAAATCCTGAATTATCCCACTTGTCGAAGTTCGACATTTTAGTAAAATATTAATAAACTTTTATTTATTTCACATATTTTTCACGTGTTCCCTTTTCTTTCTTTTTTAATCTTTGTCCCCTTATTTCCTTAAACTTAATCATTTTTTTCTCTCTTTGTAGCGATTAAGTTTTATTTATTAGCGCTAAGATAATATTTCCGCTCTTAGTGGCGATGACTAGGCTTGAGAAAGAGATCGCCCTTAGTGGCGCTAATTAACTTCCTATAAAACTAAATGTAATTCTCCTATTCTTTGGATTTCAATCATTCATTCATGATGTATTAATACTCCTTTAACTAAAAACTTCTTTATAATAATTCTCTATTGTTTATTATTGGAATAAATTAATTATTTGGAAAATATTTTGAATAAATATTTTTATTTATATTTTGGAAAAACAAGTGTTGTAGGACCTAATCAAACCGAGTTTCGACACCACTACACCACAAAAACAAGAGAAGGAAAACTCGAAAAAATGAGAAAATATTCAAAATTTAACCTCTTAATCGATTAAAAAGTGACAATTCAGCAAAACGTAAATCATAGCAAATTCCCATTCCAAGACGGCCAATAGGTGTATCGACAGGAAGGTGGAGCTGGAAAATTAAAATTAAAAAAAATAAACATTTAAAAAACCTTATTTCCTCTTCTAGAAAATTCACTTTCCATCAATCTCACTTTTCCAGGCAAATCCAAATCAAATAAATGCAATTTATCATAAGAAGCTCGAGTTTGGCCAGATGAATCAATAAGCAAATAAGTGTTAAGAGGCAATCCATCTGTTTGCTTAAAAAATATTTTTAGATTTTAAAAATAATTTTAAAGCAAGTGTTTCTGTGAGAAAAAATGTTTTAAAAAATTGTTTAATTTTTTAAAAGAATTATGAAAAAAATTAAACTGGCAAGGACTCGAATCCATAGGCAAATTGAATAAAAAATCTGAAATACCACCACCCCACAAAAATTTTTTTCAAATTTCTTATTTTAAATCCCCTTGAGGGGATTAATTTAAAAATTAAATAATTTTTAAAAATCCAAAAATTATTCCAAAAATAATTTAAAATTCCCCGAACCTTATTATGAAATCCACCCAAAGCCAGCCAAAGACCATAACGCTTTGCCAATTCACGAAAATGCATTATGTATTGCCCATCTGCCTCTATTGCTTGCTCAATTTGTTCTTCCTTATTTCGGCCAATAAAATCAAAGCATTCCGGGAGGAAAACCATCTAGAAAAATTTGAAGAGAAATTTACAAAAATTTCTGAAGACCAAACAATCCTACAGAAATTGCTCGTTTCTCTGTCAAAAATATTTTTATTTTAAATAAATCTGGACTCAGACAATTTATAAATCAATCTCAAACATTTCTAACTTACTCACAAATGGTTGGGCGCCAACCGGGTTCGAACCCACGACGCATTTTTATAACAAACTCATCTCACTACCACTCAGCCAAAAAATTCAATTTTTTAAAAATTAAAAACCTTGCATCCACGATTATTTGCAGCTCTCTCAATTAATTGTGCACTACGTCGAAAATTATCATTTAAATCATGTTGAACACTTAATTGACAAACAGCAATGAGTGAACGTCGTCCAGCTGAAACTACGGAAGATGCTGCCATTTATTTCTAGTCTAAAAATCAATTTTAAGAAAAATAATGTGGGGAAACAAATTATCAGTTAACTGATAAAATAGCCAATAAATAAAAAAAGAAAATATATAAAAGTAATACATAACTAAAAATTAACACTTTTACGAAAAAATACCCTCAATTTATTAATAAAGAAAATTTTAAAAAAATAAACAAACAAAGAAAATAAATTAAAAATTTTATTTTGCCCGTTTAAGCAATTTTATTAATTTGTATGTACAGAATATTGTAGATGCATAACGTAATGGAGCAAATAACTGTTAAAAAATTTTTTTATTGATTTTTTGGTTAAGTGGTAAAAATCAGGTCTCAAAAATTTAAGGTCACGGGTTCGAACCCGCTCGGCCCTAAAAACATTTTTCAACATTTTAATATTTTTGACAAGTCCAAAATTAACCAGCCAAACTAAAAAATATAATCAAAAAATTTCCCAAAACTTTTCTTCACTCAATATCCGAGGTTTACTCCCTATTCTACACCAAAAATTAAAATCTAATTAAATAAACAACCTTGAAAAGAATTAATGTAGCTGTCAACGTCCCTGCTGATTTAGGCAAATCTCTCATTTTTTGAATCCAATTTTGAGGCAACCGTAAAAACTCAAGTAAACTAATAACATCATAGTCCATCAATAATAACCTTAATTATAAGAGCTATTTGGAAAAAATTTTTGGTTAAGTAGCATAACATTTCCATAAAAATTTAGTGTGTGGGTTCGAGTCCGCCCTGGTCAAAAATATATTTCTACACCTTTGTAAAGACCTCTCAAAAATTCGGCCATTGGTTAAGTGGTATAGAAATATTTTTTTAATTAGGTCATGGGTTCGAACCCGCTCAGCTCCCAAAATGTCTTTAGGCATTTAAAAAAGGAATTAAAAATTATTTTTAACAAATTCACTTACAAATGCAATGTTGAATAAAAAATAGAAAACCATAAAATTGAAAGTATCAAATGAACTGGGAGAGCAATGTACCAATAACTTAAAATATTTTTTTTAAATAAAAATAATTTAAAATAAACCGTTTAAAAAGATCCTTAAAATTTTGAAAAATTCCTTTTGGTTTAACATTTCCACTGTGAAAGGAACGTTTGAAAGTAAGTGTAGATGGAAAATATTGATGATTTCGATGAGAGAGTGCCAAAACACCGTGTTTGTTTGAACTCCAAGTTAACTGGAAAAAATAAATTTTTAATTAAAATTAAACAAAAAAATCGAAAAAATTCCGAAAAATATCCCGGACTCCGATTTGGACGAACACTATCTCATTTATAAGAGCTCGACGAACTGAAGAGTCGAGTGATACTTAAACTAAGCTACAGTCTCAATTTTAAGTCAAGTTATGGGCTTATAATGGTCAAAAATGTAAGGGGAACCAAACAGGTTTTAGGAAAACACCATATGGTTTTTGAGTTTCGTGGAATGAATTTTGGACCCATAATTGAGATTGGAGCTTAATTTAGGTGTTGTTCGACTAATACTGCTTTCGAGTCTAAAACATATGACAGAATTTCTCAGAAAAATCGTTAAAACTAAAATTTAAAGAACCAAATGTCCCGCTTCAGTCAATGCTCCCATACAACTACCACCAGCAAAAACCTTTTTAAAAAATTTCTTTTTAAATTAACAAAAAACCCAAAAAACCTTAACCCGATTTTTTTCATTCATTGCTGAAGTAAATAAAGGCGGGTCAATTTGCATTGGCTTTGTTAATTTTTCAATTTTTGGTCCAAAACCGAGTACATGAGAACCCCAAGTGAAGATTTGACCGTCAGAATTACAAACAATACTTGGAAAAAATTCTAGAAAATTTTAAAAAAATTTAAAAACCATGAAACTCCAGTTGCTTCAGCTCCATCAATTTTTCCTAATTTAAAAGGAACAAGTTGAGTCATAAGCTTTTCTATTGCTAAAGCGCCAGTTGAGCAAAGACCTAAAAAAACTTTTTAATTTATAAATTTAATCAAAATTCGAAAAAATTCCCAACCAGATCCATAAACTGTTCGAGTCAAACGATTGAACAAGCATTTTGGAAGTAAAGTAAATTTAGTAAACGTTGAAGGATACATTTTCTAAACAAAAAAAATCTAAAATAAAAATATTCAAACGGTGAGCCTTAACAGAAAATTTTAAAAATCAAAAATGAAATGAAAATAACCAAGTTTCCATACAAAAAATTACGGGTTTTTCAGGCAATATTCTCAAAACTGAAACTAATTAAAATTCCAACCCCAACAAACCCATCAGTCCTTCCCCAAAAATTAACTCACTCAATCTATTCTAACGAATCTCCTAGTCTCTAATTTAAACAAAAACCTGTTCAAATAGTTCAACAAGTCCAATAATGTCAAGGATAGTCTCACACCTCCCAATATTTCCAATATTTTAAAGCGCATAATTGTTCAAATTAAGAAGGTGCAGCCCCAATAGAAGCAGGCAGCACCAGAAAGCCCCCACATCAGCTGTAATAACCACCCTGACTGTCCTTATCAAACTTATCAAAAATTCAATTATTTAAACCATTTAAAGAATTAAGTATAAAATTTGAAAGAAAAACATTAAAAAACCTTTTAAAGTCCATAAAATAATTATAATTTATGTACTAAAACTCAAAAAAATTCAAAACTTAACAAATTAAAAAATTAATTTTGTTCCTTTTTATTATCTCCATTTAAACCTTTTCCATTTCCATTCTTTTTTCTATATTTTGCAGCAGCAGCAATTCTTCTTTCATTCATTTTTCTCATCAACTTTTCAAATTCAATACGACCACGATATTCTAGTTGTCTGACAGTTCGAAGCCATCCCAAATGTTTTAATGCTTTATAAGTTAAATTTGTTCCAATAATTGTTGATGCATAACGAATTGGTGTAAAAATCTTTAAAAAAATAAAAAAAATTTTGAGACTTTTAAATTAAATTGCCCCGTCTCACTTGAAAGTTCAAAAGTCAAAAAACCCAGTGGATAATCCAAAAGAAAACTGCTAGATAAGGTTGGCGGATCCTGTGAAATCCCCTGGATATCCGGATCTGGAACCGAATCCAAAAATTTCCGAATATCCGGTTTTTGGGATATTTGGATCCGATAAGCATGGTGCTAGACAGGCAAAAAAGAAAAAGGTTTGTTTAGAAATTAGGCAGGAACACCAAAAATAATTTATCATAATTAAAACCTTGATTAAGATAAAAGTAGCCGTCAATGTACTCGCAGCTTTAGGCATTTCTCTCACTTTTTGAATCCAATTTTCGGGTAGATGGAAAAATTCAAGCAAACCAACAACATTTAGGCCACTAAATAAAAAATGTTTTAATTTTTAAAAATTGAAAATCAATTTATTAGCCAAATTAAAGTTTTTGGTTAAGTGGTGGACCGAAATGTTTTGAAAAATAAAGGCTGCGGGTTCGAATCCGCTCGGCTCCCAAACATTTTTTAAATATTTAAAATCATTTTTGAGCTTGAAATAAACAACTTAGAAGCCAAAAAAATTCAAAAAAATTTTTCAAGTTAAAATTTCGCTCACAAATGAACAGCAAAGTAGAAAACACCAAACCAACAGGCAAAAAGAACATAATGAACAGGTATAGCAATATACCAATAACTAGAAAAAATAAAATTTAAAAATTGGGGGAATACCAGTTCACGAAAGTCGGCGTAAATCATTTGAAATCACACATACCACTCCCGGGACGGAAAAAAGTTTTCCCAGTTTGCATTCTCCCAGAGCTCAAAATTTCCCCATAGCCCTTCCCATTCCCGTTGGGGAACAGTCCTACTAAAACCCCAATAATAATTTTAAAAAAGAAACCGTTTTAAATAATATTTGAGTTTCTGAAAGAGACCACTGGGTATATTTTCGTTCTTCTCATCTTCCAACTTTTGCTTTAGCCTTTCATTTCTAGGCAGTCGAACTCTCAAATGTTCGTGAAAAAACTTAAAACTTTTTTATTAAATTAATTTAAAAAGTCAAACCTTAAATTCAGAAATTTTAGGCAATCTAACAAAAAGTTGAGTACTTCGTCTTAAAATTGAAAATTGCCTGACTTGACAAAATTGAGAAAGAGAACGATGGCAAGTAATAATAGCAAATGTTGCTGACATTTTAGAAAATATTTTTTATCAAAAATCTGGAAAATCTATTTAATTGAACAATTTTCAGTCACTTTTTGGAATCATTCAATGGACCCACACCCCCTATGGAACTGCTTGTATTTTGAAGCTAGTTCCTCTCCAGTCACAAGAACCGGATAAAAAAAGGTTAGAGAATAAGCTGAGGAAATATTGCCTGAAAATGAATAACACCCCCGTATGTCACGACAATTAAAAAATTTTTTAGACTATCGAAAAAATGTTCGATAGTCTATTACAACCAGGCCCGTAACCAGGATTTTTTCGGGGGAGGTGGGCAAGGTGGAAAATTTTTATGCGCCGAATTTTAGGCTCCAAAGGACCCCCTATCCCTGGTTATAGGCCTGATTACAACACCAAAACAAATTTAAAAAATAAATAAAAAAGATTTAAAAATATACATCTAATGTAAAAACATAAATAATTTAAAGAAAAAAAATTCTCCCAAGAATTCTAACCTTTATTTAAATATATTAACAACAAATTTTAAACTAAAAAATTATTCTTCCCTTTCCCATTTTTACATCAATCACGCTTTGCCAATTCCTGTTTAAAATTGAGCGCAAAATAAACAGCAGCAGCAGCAATCAACAAACAAACGCCTTCAGAAGAGAAAGGAGCCTTTTTAGAAACGCCTGGATGGTAATATTGAGTGGTGAATAAAGGCTCTATGCGAGACAAAGGGTTTTCAACGCCTGATTGGACTGCCTAAAATTGTTTATTGTTAGATTTATTTAAAAATTTAGTCATATAACAGGGATGTCACGAGTTGAGAATAAAGTGGGGCCGTGTTTCGGGTCGATTTTCATAATATTTTCTGGAACGGATTTCAAAACAAAAATAGTTCGGGTTTCGATTAGATGTGTCGGATCAAATTTCGAGTCGAAAAAATTCAGAGAATCAGGTACCCGTGACATCCCTGTTATATACAAAATAAACCTTTTTATATTCTGCCAACTTGTCCTCATCAAGTACAACTACATCGAATGTTTGAGCACTGGATTCGGGGTGTTCAAGAAGCCAGGAAACCTATAAAATTTAAAATTCTTTTCGAATGGAGTCAAGAAACCCCAAAAAAGAAATAAAAACAAACTTGATATTTTGTCGTCTCTTCAGAAACTGAAAGCTGATAAACACGTCCATTCACAATAGCAAAGAATGGGCTATTCTTAAAAATTTAATTTTTAAAAGAATCATTAAAAAGCTAAAAAGTTAATTAAACAGAGGCTGATTAGGGTACTAGACAATAAAAATATATATGGACCCGAACCGGGACCGAACCTTAGTGCAAAGTCAAAAGCTAACCCACTTAACCACAAATGCAATTTTCGCCCGTTTATGCATAAAGGGCAGCCAAAAGAATATTAGTAAAAATTCAAAGTACGGTTTTCGACTCGAACAATTATAGGCACCCCAAAAGTGTTAAGTTGACAAATCATCCCATCCCAAGAACCTTACAAGATATTTAAAAAAAACTTTGATTACGTGTTCATAATTGTTGGCACATTGAAGAGCAAATTCCATAATATAAGTCGTTTTGAAGTGAAAGAACCCATCTTGTGTAGAATATCCACTTGAAGAATGTCGTGGTGATTGACAGCTTGCACCTTTAATAAGATTTTATTCAAAATTTAAAAAAAAATTTAAAAAAACCAAAAGTTGGAGAAAATAAAAATAAAAGAATAACTAATGAAAAAACAAAATAATTCATCTTTTTGCTTGTAATTCTCTGAAATTAAAAAAAAAATAAAAAAAAATTTTTAAAAAACTTTGACAAAAATTTAAAAAAAACGAGAGACACCCCTTCAAAAAGTAAACGTATTAAACATTCTGAAAAAGTAATCACTTACTGACATTTTGTCCGTTGGTATATCGTATAAATTTCTAATCATTTTTTCATTTTGTAACAAACAAAAGTTAACCGTATTAGAGAAAAAGAGAAATATGTCATAACTATTAGAGAAAAAGGAAAAATTAACACTACTCTTGGTAGAGTAAAAGAAAAGATTTGCCTTATACATATTTCACCAATAGGACAATTTACCAATAAGGGTTAAAATTTTACGTTTTGTCAATAAGGCTTTGTTGGCAAAATGTAAGTTTTAGCCTTATTGGTAAAATATGCTATTGGTGAAATATAGGGAATGTGAAAGGATTTTGTTTAATGGCTGGGGTGGGAAAAAAATTTTTTTTCTCAATTTTCTCAATTCTTTCACTTTTGATTTGCTTTAACTAAAATTTTCATTTTTAGCAAATTCTATTAATTAAGAACCCTCAATTCATTTTATTGACATTTTCCAATGGCACGGACCAAACAAACTGCTAAAAAGTCTGCTGGTTTTCGAAAAGAAATAGTTGCTGCAAAAGCTATTGCTTCCAAACGAATGCGTGTCCAGCTGGCTACTAAGCGATGTCCGCGAGTTTTTCCGAGTTACAAGGAGTTACCTCCCGTGAAGATGCAACAGAAGCGATATCACAAGAAGGGTAAGGACAAAATTTTAAATCCTGTCACTTTTGTTAAGTTGGATAATTTTTAGTTCCATAAGCCTTTTGGTTAAAGGTTCGAACCCCACAACGGGCAATTTTTTTTAATCGTAAAATTTCAATTTCAGGATCTCTCGCCCTTAAAGAAATTCGCCGCTTCCAAAAATCAACAAATCTTTTGATCCCTCGTGCTCCTTTCATTCGTCTGGTTCGAGATGTTGCTAATTCTATTACTGGTGAACAATACAAATGGCGAGGGTTAGCTCTAGTTGCTCTTCAGGTTTTTATAAAATTATTAGGCTTGGTGAGACATAAGGATGGGATTAGGTTGATTTATCGTTTGGACTCTGGATTGGGCCACGGGATGGGTTCATGTGTTCAAAAATGATGACAAGACAACCTATCGATTATCTCATGGGATCTAAATTCCGTAAGATTGAGCTGTGTGTTTCTAGCTACAGGGCGGGATCTTGTACAGGTTCATGAATTTAAAAATTAGCTCTGACCTTGACTTTTTATAGTAACAACCCAATATCTACGTCCCTGTGGGCGGCAGTCTTGCTTGTTTCCCGTGTATTTTTCCAAAAAAAATTCTTCGGCAAGATTTTTAAACTTTTAAATTCCTACCCTTGTTACGCGCCATTTCTTGAACCTTTAAAAATTTTTTAATTCACTTTAACAATTTCAGGAGGCCGCTGAATACTACTTGGTAAACCTCTTTGAAGATTCTAATTTATGTGCTCTGCATGCTTCTCGTGTTACAATTATGCCCAAGGATATTCAACTTGTACGCAAAATTCGTGGAGAGGTTTTTTTTAATTTAAATAATTTTTTTTGAAAATTTAAAACTTTAAGACAACAACATTGCCTTCAATTGCATTACGTTAAATTAGAAAAGGATTTAAATTTTAAAACCCAATTCCCATTTTTCTCTTGTTGTCTTCCAACCATCGTTTTTGCTTTTAAAATTGACCTGCTTTTATAAAGTTTCTCCCGTCTGTTATAATTTTTTATTAAAATTAAGTTACTCCATAAATATTTATTTTTAGACGTTTTTTAAATTTTTTTCAACAAACGTTTTTAAACAAACGTTTAACGTTTTTTTAGTTTTTTAAACAAAAATATTTAGTTAAACCAAATAAAATAAATGGGCGTTGAAACTCGCCAAAACTATTAAAGGGGGATGTTTATTTTTTACTTAAACTTTCCGTCTTCTTACTTCATCTCATCTTTACTTTTTCAAAACATAGTCAACCCCTTCAACCGGTTTCTTAACAAACATACAAAGACGGCGGCCAATTTGAACGCAGCTACCACATCCGCTCGGAATCTTAGAAAAATTAAAAAGTCGTGAAAATTTCTTTGAAAAAATTTTCTAACCCACCCCATAAGGAATTCCGTCCTCATTGCGCTCAATCCCATCTTTCTTCTTAACAACCGGCTCTTCCACTCCAAGACCACCAGCCAAGTCCGCGTCCTTTTGCGAGTGTTGCTGCTCTTTGAGGCGCTTCAATTGGTTCTTATGAACTAAAAAATTGTAAATATTTTAGTGCGGACTAAAAAGTTTGCAAAAAATGAGTCGCTTAAGTTGAGGGAAAAAAGTTAAGCGATAGGAACCCCTCCAAACTTCCTTTCCAAATTTAGTTTAATTCAATACCTTTAGTCTTCTTGTGCTTCTTAAGCACTTTATCATTGATAAAATGGCGATCGCATTCCACACAATAATTCTGTCCAGCGCCCGGCAAGTCTTCATCTACCGGTTGGTTTACAACCTTTGCCAACTAAAAGCAAAGTAAAAAATAAAATAAAAAATAAACCTTTTCCGGTCTTTCCATAGTTTCTTTAATTTCATCCAAATCCTTGCCTGGACGCTTCCTTGTTTTATTCGAAATTGTATGTTTCTTGGGCATTTTTTAGAAATTCAAATTTGCTCTTAAAAGTCAAAAAGAATTAATTAACAAAAATTAAAAAGAAATTAAAATTGTTAAAAAATTTTCAAATTAAGGCAAAGCAATTTTTAAATATTTTTTTTATTTAAAAAAACAAAATAATTAAGAGAATATTATACAATTTTAAAATTATAATTCAAGTGAATTATTCAAAAGTCAAGGACAGATTCACTTGATGGATATTTTCAGGAAAATTTAAAAGGAAAATTTGCGGCATTTTTGTCCGCAAAAATTTGCGGACATTTTTTGCGGATAAAATTTTGAGATCTAAAAACAGGTAAATATCCATCAAGTGTTTCTGTCTATCCAAAAACAAATAATTACCAGGAGAAAACAAATTTTACAATTAAAAAACTTTCAATTTTAATCATTAAATTGCGGTGTCTAGCAGGCTTGCATTGGAAGCGGAAGTTTTAATTCCGAACATTTGACACTGAATCTCAGCAGAAACCTTAAAAATAGTTTGGTTTATAATTTTTGGTGAAGGAGAAGGAGGCTAATTTGAGGGTGTTTAAATTTTAAATTTAAAAAAATTAGTCGAAATTTGCGGACATCCGCAGAGAAATGTTCAGGAGTACACCCTGAACATTTCTCTGCGGTCAGGAGTACACCCAAAAAAATTTTAGGGGAAGGGAGTAGGCAAAGGGATGGGAAAGATTTCCAAAATTACTCATTGCCCAATATCGTTCACCGCCCACTGTCGGAATCACCAGACACGAAGAGAAGGGAAAAATCGAAACTCCCGAAAATTTTTAGAAAAGTCTAAACCTCGACTGTTTGAATTTATTTTCAGATTTTAAGCGCTTATTTCCCCCTTGCATTCCCCCCTTTTCCTATTCTTGTCCTTAATTATCGGGGTAACAAAAAAAAAATAAAAAAAAAACCTTGCTCCAATTATCAGCAAAAAACAATTCTCGAAGTTTAAAAAATGTTTGAGCCGTTAACAAAGAATCAGAGCCTGCTTGATGACGTTTTCCAATACGTTGAACATCCAATTGATTAGCAATTTCTTGAAGACCTCCAGTCAATTTTGCTGTCGAAGGAGCAGGTTGACGAAGAAGCATTTTAATGTCATAACTCGTTGGGAAGAGTTTTTTGTGACTGAAAAAAGGTCAAAATGATACAAAACCCCCCAAAATTCGCTTACTAAAGAAAAAAGTCATTTTCGTCCTCAGGCAACTTTTCCAACAAAATTGCTTTGATTAAATAAGCAAAATCGAAGCAACTGTGAAATGTAATCCAAGTAATGCGTTTGTTGACCAATAATCCTGAGGTAGTCAGTAATTCACCAAAGTTTTCCATTAAAATGCCTTCCTTCTAAAATTGAGATTTTTTGTTAAAAGATCCCCACAATTTTACAAAATCCGCAAATATTTTATAGTCCGCAAACATAGTTGCAAACAACTTAGGGTTAGAGATCTCTAGCGTTGGCGGATCCGAATCGGAATAAAAATAAGATCTCAAAAAATCTCAGGTCGGATCTCGAATCCGGATATATGAAAATTTTTCAAGATCAGCCAACACTAATCTCAACCATTCCCAATGACCTAAACTTCGAAAAAAAATTTTTTAAAAAACTTCTAAAAAGCAAATCTGTAGCAGAGAAGACGTAGCCAGAGGGAGAATAAAGTTCAACAAAAAAATGATTCCACCCTCTCCCAAAGTTTTTCCTGGCTACATTCCTGAAAAAGTGGCCCGAGGGAAAGCAAGATTGATAAAAAACCCAACAGTACGCAAAAACCTTTTTTGTCAAAAATAAATTTAGAACCTGATGCCTGGAGAAATTAAAGCCAGCTTCTCTAAGAAGTTCAACAGAGTCAGCACTGCCCATATCCTCAGCAACACTTTTAAAAATATTTAAAAATAATTTTAAAAAAATAAAAAACCTAAAATGAAGATTAAACTGCCAAATGTCCCGATTTGGAGTTAAGTCACCTTTTTCATTCATTAAAGTAAAGCCAACCTGCAAACAAAATTAAAATTTTTAGGAAACGAAGTAATATTTTTTGGAGTAATATTTTTGGATATTTGGGAAACACGGAGAGTTTCACATATTTTAGAGATACCATAGAGTGAACGGATAAAGAGACGAGATTTTTAAAGAGTTGAGGTTGGACACAGATTAGTCCTAGGCTAAGAAGTTCAAAAAGTTAGGAGTTCAAAAAAACACAAAATCCCAGAAAACCCTCAAGAAGCTCAATGATGACTCAATCTGTGCTCTTAGTACATAATTACAAAAAAATGTCTGCATTAACCAGAATACCTTTTGTATTTTAAAATACTTAACCCCAAGAAGTTAGATATAACTCTAAAAATTAAACTAATTACCATTAAATCATCCAAACCTGTATTAATTTGAGCAAATTCACGTTGCAATAAAGCTGTTGATAGTTAAATTCATCTTTAGCATAAAATTGTCCAACAGGTGTAATAACAACTCCAGGAAATTCTGTGTCCATTGCAACATAAGGATAATCGTCAATAAATTCCCGAAGAGATGCAAATTCTTCTTCCAAATTTGAAGCCCAAACGTCATGAAGTGTCACGTCCTTTAAAAATTAAAAATTGCAAAAAAAAACACAAAAAATTTTTTGGCTCTATCGCAAATGAGGTGCGTAATCATATTTTTTCTCCTTCCTTCCTCAAGTTAAAAATGGGGAACTTTTTCCTTAGTATTTTTCCTTAGTAAGGAAAAATAATGTAAGAGGATTAATTTTTTCATTTTCTTTTCTACCCGGTTTTGACTGACCGTGTCTCAAAACTGTCCGTGTTTTGACTGTTTTTCAGTCAAAATTGTCCCTGTTTTGACTGTGAAAACACGGTCAGTCAAAACATGAACAAAAAACAAAATGTAAAAAATTAATCCTCTTTCATCATTTTTCTATACGGCAAAATCAGCATACATTAAAAACTAAGGAAAAAGTTCCCCATTTTTGACTTGAGAAAGGAAGGAGAAAAAATATGATTACGCACCTCATTTGCGATAGGGCCAATTTTTTTGTCCGCAAAAAAATGCGGACAAAGAATTGCGGACAAAATGTCCGCATTGAAGTGCAGACAAAAAACGTCCGCAGCAAAAAATGCGGACAAAAAATGCGTAAAATACCCTCAATTTAAGCAAGACCATTTCAATTTTAATAAATAAAAAAAAGATACCTGAATTTTAACAACCATTTTGTTTTTAAATAATTAAATTAATAAAAAAAATAAAATAATAATTGGGGTCACTGAGAAAAATATTGGATTAAATATATGCAAATTGAAAGACAAAAAATGACAAAAATGGAAAAACAATGTGCGAGGTGATGAGCGGTACAAAAAAGAAAGTGTTACACAAACCCCGTCTCGATTCCCTATGTTTATAAAAAAGTAAAAAAAATCGAATAAATTTATTCATCAAAGAGAAAAAAAAATAAAAAGTGTTTTTGTGGCGCGACATCAAAAAAATAATAAAAATCCCCCGAACCTGTCACCAATTGTGTCTGTTGGGACACGCCCGAGTAGGCGCGGGCCAAGTAGGCGCGACCGAGTAGGCGCGACCGAGTAGGCGCAGGCCAAGTAGGCGCAAGGCCAAGTAGGCGCACGGCCAAGTAGGCGCAAATGTTTTAGTTTAAAATATTCAAACTTAAAATATTCAAACTAAGTAAATCAGCATAAATAAACACTATTTATGTAAACATAATATAGAAGAAAGATTCTTGATAAAATAGTTAGTTCCTAAAGGAGACTAACTATTTAGTACAGGTTAAGTATTCATGACGTTGGTAAGCCACAGGAATTATCAAAGCAGCGCGGCTTTCATAATTAACAAACTTAATCAGTAAACCCTCCAAAACTTATCAACAGCTAAGTATGAAGACTTTATGAGAAAAATATTAAAAGAAAAGATCTTTCTTAAATTTTATCAAAAAATAAAAATATCACCGAGCTTTACTTAATAAAGTGTCTACATAAAGTTGCTTGATTATTCAGCTAAATTAACAAAATTACTTAAAGATTAACAAAAAAATTGTTGGGTAAAATTTAAGAAATTTGCCCTTGCGCCTACTTGGCCGTGCGCCTACTTGGCCTTGCGCCTACTTGGCCTGCGCCTACTCGGTCGCGCCTACTCGGTCGCGCCTACTTGGCCCGCGCCTACTTGGGCTGTACCCGTGTCTGTTGTTTACGTTCTTTAATTACCCTTTTTCCTTTTGTGTATTAAAGTTTTATTAGTGATTATATTTTGTGAAAAGTTTACACTTTGAAATTTTTGAAAATTTTTGTTGTGTGAGTAAGAGAAAAAGTTTGAGAAATAGTGTGTTAAATAGAGAAATAGAGGGTTAATTTTTGTTATTTATTTACTTTCTCTAACACTCTCTTTAAATCACACAGTCTTTTCTTGCTTTTTTTTACTGGAAAGTTGTAATTTTAAAAGCTTGTAACTTTTGATTGCGCTGATAGAAATTTTTCATTTTTGTGTCAAAATATAGAGCAGATTCTGGATTACTTTATTTTTTAGATTTTTCAAAATGGATCCAAATGAAATCAAAAAAGAGCCTCAAACGCCATCCACCCAAAAACGAGCATCTCTTACTTTTGCCCGAAACCATCCCGGCAGTTTATCTCCACGACGTCTTCCAACAAGTGCGAGCTATGCTTCTGCTTTATCCTCAACTACTGGAAGCGCATTTAACCCTTCTGCCGTTGTCCGGCGTGAACTAGAGTTGGAAAGAGCGGAAAGTAGTGCTTCTACAACGAGGGCTTCTAGTGCTAGAAGGCAACAGAGCATCGGTTTTCTTTGAATTAAAAAAATTTTTTTTTAATTTTCAAAAAATTTCAGGCCCTCCTCAAGCTCCAGTTTCTCGCCGTTCAATGGATTTTGACCCAACAAATATTGCAAATATCCGCCAACAGAGACGCTCATTGATGGGACAGTTATCTTCAAATGTCTCTACTACTGGGGTGAGCGAAGGAAGAAGAAAATGGAATGTTTGGAAAATTAGAAAATTAGTTGAGCAATTTTTGGGAATTGGACTTTTCGAATTTTTCTGTTGAGGGGTTAGCTTAAGCATTTTTTCGGATTTCTTTTTTAGTTGTTAAAATAATTTTCTAATTATTTTGGGAATTTTTTTAAATTTAATTTTGCGGACAAAAAGTGCGGATTCCGCAAAAAAATTTGCGGACAAGTTTCATTGTCCGCAAATTTTGTCCTCAAATTTTTTAAAATAAAATTATTTTTTAAATTTTATTCTAATCTCAATTTGAATTAAAAAAGGCTATGAACGCTTCCCTTGCATTACAAGCAGCTACAACAAAAATAGATAACAGACCAGCAATTATTATTGAAATTGGCAATAGATTGACAAAGTTTTTTAAAATTTTATTTTTTATTTTTAAATTTTCAAAGAATTGGATTTGCTGGGGAATTTGTGCCTCTAGACGTTTTCCGAACAGAATGGCTTGATCCTATGGAAACAACGGGACGGACAGTTCCTTCGCCTATATTTTGTAGAGATTGGAGTGAGCAGGAACAATATGAAAGACTTGTTAAATTTTTTCGAGTTATTGTGTTTAGGTTCGGTTTTTTTTCGAAATATTTTTTGATTTTTTTGTCTCTCAAAGAATAGCAATTTTTTATTTGTAAAATTACGAAAAAATATTTTTTCCTAATATTGAAGGGCAATGATTTTTTAGAGGCTAGGATCTTGTGTAACCATGATATTATCTTACTAGCTCTCCTGGCTACCTGCTAATATTTTTTAAGTAAGATAAATCCAAAAAAGTAACTTGACATGTCCTAATAAAACTTGCGGTCTTTTGAGCGTAGACTGATGAAATCTAATTTTTGGAGATAGAATCTTGTAAAGGGGAAATAAGGTTTTACAATTAGTAGGAATAAGTCTTTTCTCAACACCTTCCAAAAAATTTTTGCCATTATGACCTCTTAACATCTTTGTGGAATTTTTTTATTAATCAAATAATTTTTCATTTTTTCAGAAAATTAATCAATCCCATTGCTTCTCGTCGAGTTGTTATTGTTGAATCTTTACTTACGCCTACTTGGCAACGTCAAGCTTTGGTAAATTTTTTTAAAGAAATGAAAAATTTTCATTTAATTTTAGGCCCACGCTTTGTTTGATTGTACAGCTTTAGCTCCACATTCAATTTTATTTGCTCCATCACATTTGCTTTGTTCTTTTACTTTTAATACTAAAACTTGTATTGTGTTGGATTTGGGGGCGAACGAAGCTGTTCTTTTTCCTGTAAATATTTTGTAAACAATAAGTTATTTTCGGGAAACATAAGGGTAAAATTAAAATATTTGCATAGCTTTTCCGTGGTGTAATGATTAACGCCTCTGAGTTTTATATATAGTGAACTCAGGTTTGACGTCTATTGGCTGTGTTCGGCTTTTTTTTCACAAGAAAACATTCCAATATTCTTTGAAAATTCATTTTTAAATTCTTAGAAAATTTTTGATTTTTTCCTTTTTAGATTGTCGAAGGTATTTTAATGCTTCATAATTGGGAGACATCTATTAATGCTTGTGCAAGTGCTTTAGAAATGGAGGCAAAAAGATTAATGCTTAAATATGGAAGAGTTCGAAGACATCCAGTAATTGTATTAGAGAGTTGTGATGAGGGAAGTGAAGAGTCCGAGCAAGGTTTTTTTTATTTTTTCTGGGATTAATTTTAGGCCGGGTTTTCCATTCTTCGGAAATTTTTTTTCTAAATTTCAGTTGAAATTTCTGATGACGGTCGTCCTTTTGCTGAATGTGATTTACCTTTGGCCGACTCAATGCGCTTGTGGGAAGATTTAGTTTTTCGATTTTGTTTTGTTACAACTGCAGCTAGAGGAAGACGACTTCAAACGCATCGTAGATTTTTTTTAAATTTTTCGATTTTTCTCTTTTTTAGTAGCCAATCCAGATTCTCCTTATATTACTCGACCTGTCCCTCCTGTCCAACTCCAATTTGGGTCAGAATTGCTTTATATTCCTGGAATTGTGCGAGAGGCTGTAGCTGAACTTTTGTTTACACATAATGATGAATCTGGTTGTAGATCTGTTCCTCAATTAATTTTGGATTGTATCTCAAGGGTATTTATTTTTTGATTTTAAAATTTAAATAGGATTTGAAAATTCTGTTATCGTTAATAAATAAGTTTTAATAGGGGTACAATAGTCCTTGTTAGCTTTTTGGTTCTGGGATGAATTTTATTGGAACCCCCCCCCCCTCCCGAAACGAATAATTAAAGTGAATTCTGATGGTTGGATAATCAGCTAAATTTTATAAATTTTTCAAAACCCTGAAAATATTTGTAGATTCTATCAAGGACTGTCAGTCCTCGTCCAAATATACCCATATTTAGACTGAAAATTTTTAAATCTTCGATTAAATATAAAAATACATTTTATGATTGAACATTAACTAATATTATTCCATTATTTTTAGGTCAGCATTGATTTACGTCGTATTTTACTGCAAAATTTGCTCATTGTTGGTGGAATAAGTCGACTTCCTGGATTTTTAGCTAGATTAAAGGTTTTTTTTATTTTTATTATTTATGTTAGGGTGGGGATACTCACGAAGACTCACTAGCCATTTTTTGGAATTGTCCGCAATTTTTATTCGCAAATTTCTGGAATTCCTCTTTCCAACATATTCTTTAAAATTTATTTTTTATTTTTAGACAGAACTTCTTGATTTAATTGCTGATGGATATAAACCACAAATATCACCCAAACTTGTTGATATAAAATTTTATCAATTTCCACCTGAAATTGCTGGAGAATTGTTTTGTTCTTGGCTTGGAGGTTTTTTTTAATTTTAAATTTAAAAAATAATTTTACCTCTTAAAGGTTCCTTGTTTTGTTCTACAGATTATAATATTGACCAACGATCAATTACAAGACAAGAATGGCTTCGAACTAGAAAAGTAAAAGATTGGACGGAAGAAATTGATAAATATTTTTCTAATTTAAATATTAATAAGGGGGCATAAAGGTTTTTTTAATTTGTGAATTTTTTTAGAAATTAATTTTGATTTTTAATGACAATATTTTATGTTTTATTAAAAATATTTTTTATTTTACCTTTTTGACGTCCAAAAAAAATTTTTTTTGGTTTTTTACAAGAACTGAAAATAGTGTTATTTGTGCGGACATTTTTTGCGGATTTTCATTGCGGACTTCTTTTTTCTTGCAGTTTTTGCGGGCAACTTTTGCGGATTTTTACCTATTTTCTCTTTGTTCGTCTTTGAAATTCATTCCTTCAAATAAGGAATAATTTAAAACAATTCGGAATTAAAATACGGGGAAAGTCCCCCCCCCCCCCCCTTCCCCTAAAAAAGTCCGCAAAAAATTTTCTTTAAAAGATGCAAAATAATAAAATTCAAACAATCAATTATTTCCCTCAATTTATTTCGGAAGCAGAAGAAGAAATTTTAATAAAAAATGTTTATTCAGCTCCAAAACCAAAATGGCGACAACTTTCTAATAGAAGATTACAAAATTGGGGAGGTGTAGTTTCTCAGAAATTTTTGTTGCAAGAAGAATTGCCGAAGGTTTTTTTTTTGAAAAATTTTTTTTTAATTTTTTTAATTTTATTTTCAGTGGTTAGAAAATTGTATTGACAAAATAATGAAAATTCCTGGTGATTTGACCTTTCCTCCAGAAAATAGGCCTAATCATGTGTTGGTAAATGAGTATTTGCCTGGACAGGGAATTTTGGTTTGAATATTTTTAAATCGTTTGTAAATTTTGTTGAGTTTATTTTATCAAATTATAGTTACTTTTTCATTATTCTTATCGTTGTCCTCGATGGTATAGTGGCTAGGGTTTTAGGTTTGGTGCGCGGATCTGCCTCGGTTCGACCCCTTTTGGTCTGTTGTTATTTTATTTTGATTGTACTTTATTTTTCTATATTTTATTTTATTGTAAATGTGGTTTAGTGGTTAAATTTTTTGTTTATTTTAGAAAATGACTTGGGTTCGAATCCTTTTCGAGTAATTTATAGCTAAAATAATTATTTTAATGTTTTCCAGCCTCACACAGACGGACCTGCCTTCTTTCCAAAAATTTCAACAATTACTTTGGGCTCTCATGCTCTTTTAGATTTTTATGAAGAAAATGAGGAACATCGAGAGCATGTCGGTTCAGTCCTTTTAGAGCCTAGAAGTTTAATTTTAATATCTGGACCGGCTTATAAATTGTTGCATGGAATTGATGAGGTTTGGAAAAAAATTTTTTTAATTATTATTTATTTAAAGGTTACAAGTGATGGGATAAGCTTAAGAAGTTTACTAAATTTTAATGAGATTGGAACTACTTATGGTGATACAAATAATGATTTCGTTATTTTGGAGAGGAAAACTCGGTTTTTTTTGAATTTTTAAATTTAATAAAGAAAACTTTCGAACTGTAAGGGACTAAAAAAGTTCTAATTTTTGATTTACATTTCGAAAGGCTTCCTTTTAAAAATTCCTTCGTTCCCTTATATTTTTATATTTTTTTCAGTGTTTCTTTGACAATCCGTAATGTCCCACATGTGAAAAAAGGCTTATTGAACTTTAAGTGATCAATATTTATTTTTATTCGTGCTTTCTCTTTTAAATTATTTAATTTTTTTTTTGATTAAATATTGTTGGGACACGCCCTCCTTGTCGCGGGCCACCTTGTCGCGACCACCTTGTCGCGACCACCTTGTCGCAGGCCACCTTGTCGCAGGCCCACCTTGTCGCAAAGGTTGAAAATTTTTTATGCTGATATGGAGGGTAGGAAAAAGGCCTTCTGGGCACGATCGGGGTTTTCTGGAGTAATTTGGATCGGTTTTACTCTGTTAAAACTCCGGTAGACTTTAACCGGATAAGAGAAAGTAATAAAAGGAAAAAAACACTCCTGGAAATCAACTAAAAAATTAAAAAAAACCTAGAAAACAAAATAGAAATTCTAAACCTTCCATATTTCCAATCGTTGTAGCCGTGGGATGAAGTACGGCACGTGGCGAGTGAAGTTTAGGCCAGCCTTGAAATAAAAACCAAAGGAAAGCCTGCGACAAGGTGGGCCTGCGACAAGGTGGGCCTGCGACAAGGTGGGCCTGCGACAAGGTGGTCGCGACAAGGTGGTCGCGACAAGGTGGCCCGCGACAAGGTGGGCCGTACCCATATTGTTTTACTGAGGTAAAAAATTTTTTTGTTGTTTTTGTTTTTATTCTTTACCTATTTATTTTTTTATTTTCTAAAATTTTTAAAAAAAACTTTAGGGGCTTTTTGAATGGATCCTTCAACATCTAATAAATTTGCTTTACTTCACAAAATATTGTTGAACCGTTCAATTAGTGAGTTTTTTTAAACTTTTTTACTTTGTTTCAGGTTTATTTTTCTTTGTATTTTTTGTAAGGACGTTGGCTACAGGGATGGGCTAACGGCATTTTAGGCTAGACTGACTCCCCAACACAACAAAAAACATGTTTTTCCAATGTAATTAAATGCGCTGAGTTCAAATATCACTATAAAAGTGCTCAAAACGGTCTACTTTGCCATTTTTTCCCGGATTTTTAGACTCCTGAAAATCGAAAACCATAGGGGGGACCAAGCTGATTTTTGGAGTAAAAAATTCTAATATGCAAATAATAGCTCATTCGAAAGAGCTCGTCGAGCTGAGTCGAATGACACCAAAATCAACGAAATCCGACTTTATTGGACAAAGTTATGATCTTTTATTTTAGCTCCTTACCTATGGCATCTGTGGAGATTTTTGCTGCTACGGAGGCCCCAAATACGTCCAGAACAAGGGAGATAGGAATAGGTTTATGTTACGAGCCCAGACCCAGCGCCCGTAGACTCCCCGCGAGGCGCGTGCCGCAAAACCCCGCGCGAAGCGCGGGGTTTTGCACAAGCGCCTCGCCCACGCCCCATAGGTTTAGGTTTTAGTTTTTCTATCGTAACTTTGTCCAAACTTGTCCAATCACGATGATTTTGGTGTCATTCAACTCAGCTCGACGAGCTCTTTCGAATGAGCTATTATTTGCATATTCGAATTTTTGACTCCAAAAATCAGCTTGGTCCCCCCTATGGTTTTTGATTTTCAGGGGTCTGAAAATCCGGGAAAAATGGCAAAGTAGACCGTTTTGAGCACTTTTATAGTGATATTTGAACTCAGCGCATTTAATTACATTGGAAAAACATGTTTTTTGTTGTGTTGGGGAGTCAAAGTCTTACCGCATTTTAGAAGCCGAAAGGGGAAGGCAGTCGATCCCTTATAGTTTTCCTTTTGTTCTTAGGTCTTTTCCAATTTCTTTAAATATTCTCTCGTTTTTTCCTTTAGACTTAACCCGATCAGCTTCATTTTTGCCCAATGATGTTATTGAAGCCTCTTCTCTACACGAAGAAATCCCTGGAAATGAACCGAAATATGTTCATGAAATGGTTGGAAGGAAACGTCTGACTCGAGTAGTTTATGGATCTGGTTTGGGAATTTTTTTGATTAAATTTAAGAATAAAAAATATGTTTAAGGCCTTTGTTCAACGGGCGCTTTGGCAATAGAAAAGCTTTTGACACCGCCTGTGCTTAAACAATGCGTATGTTTTTATAAATTCAAGTTTCTTGTTATTTCAAGACGACTACGTATCTTGGACATAACCGAAATCCTGACTTTTTTCGTCCCGAAACATGGTTCGAAGAATATTTTGAAAACCTGACCCGACATTTTTCCCAACCCCGAGATTTTCTCACTCCGAAACGCCGCTTTGTATTTCATGGTCTAGTGGTCAGTGAGTTAGGTTTGCATGCGAAACGGGCATGGTTCGAGTCCTCTCGGCTGTCGATTGTCTAATATTGTTTTTTTTATTTCTTTTTTATTGAAAAATAATTTCCAAAAAAAATTTCTCCCAATTTTCAGTTATTTCAACCCATGCGTATTGTGCGTATGAATACAAGAAAAATTCGATTTATTGCTGCTGGTTGTGGATTTTCTTTATTTGCTTCGAATAGTGGTTTTTCTAATTAAATTTATTTTAAGATTTTTTTCAATTTGTAGAACTTTACGGATCAGGACTAAATAATTTTTATCAAATTTCTGGTCCAAAGAGAAGAGACGAGGATGAAAGGCCAAATTTAGAAAGTGGTTATGCTGGAAGGAATGAAGCAGAAATGTGGTATATACACGGAAGGAGAATAGTTCTACCCGAAGATATTGGAAATATTCGATGTATAAGTGCTGGACGAATGGTTTGAGTTTTTTAAAATTATTTTTAAGTTTAAGACATTAAAGGTCAGGCCCGTAACCACAATTTTTTCGGAGGGAGGAAAGTTTTGTTTTTTAGCACCGCAGGCGAAAATTTTGAGAAATTCTGAACTTCAAGTGTAGCAACCTTTTTTCTTTTTTTTCCTCTCTTATATACCTTGCTTTTTAATCCCGCTAGATCAATTTTTCTAAAATAATTATTTTTTAGCATTCTATAGTCCTCACAGATTCCAACAAAATTTTCTGTTTTGGAAGTAATTCACACGGACAATGTGGAGGTTTTTAAAAAAAAAGTTTTTTAAATTTACTTCAAAATTTTTATCCAGCCGATCCACTCGATCATTCAGTTGTTACTCACGATAAGCAGCATGAACTTAAAGAAATGGATGTTTCAACCATTTTGGAAGGAGATGTTGAGATTGTTAAGGTTTTTTTGAAATTTAAAAAAAAATTTTTTAAAATTGTTTTTAAGGTCCACGCTTCTTTAGACACTTCCTTTGCTTTGTGTTCCAATGGAAAATTGTTTGCTTGGGGTTTAGGAACAGACGGCCAATTGGGAAATGGAAATGATCAATTTCAATGGAAACCTTCTTTGGTTCGTGGTGATTTGGAAGGGGAAAAAATTGTGGAAATTGGTGGAAGTACAGAGTTTGTATTTTATTTTTTTGAAAGTTCTCAGGCTTGTAGGAGTATCAGTTTTTACAACAACCAACTAAAGGTCTTGGTTGTATCCCGAATGCTCGGGGTGGGTGTCTCGCAAGGGCGTATCCAGGGGGGCTGGGGGGGGGGGGCTCGAAAAAGTGAAATTTTTTCGCCTACAACCCTCAAATTTTAAAAAATTTTCGCCTGCGGCGCAAAAAATGGAAGAAATCTGGCTTTTTGAGCTCCAAAATCCTCAAAATTTTCGCCTGCGGCGCTAAAAAAAGAAGAAATCTTGCTTCTTGAGCTCCAAATTCCAAAAAATTTTTGCTTGCGGTGCTGAATAAGTGAATTTTTTTGCCTACGGTCTTCTAAAATTCAAAAAATTTTCGCCTGCGGCGCAGAAAAGATGAAAATTTATGTACAAAAAAATTTGCGTCCGGAACGCCAAGGTAAACGCCAAAAATTTTTGCGCCCACCCAGTGTTACCCCCCCCCCCCCCGAAACCGACCCCCTGGATACGCCCTTGGTGTTTCGGGGTACAGAGTTTTCAGATGTGTCGGGCGCTATTTTTGAGTTTTTAGGGAAAAATTTTTAGGAAAATTTTTTGGGCCGTTTTTAGGAAAATTTTTCAAAAGCTGATCAGCCTAGATCAATTTTTAATTTATTGTTGACTGTCCAAAAATATTTTTTAAGTCCTCTTTTTTAGTACCTTGTATCTTGGTCCTTTATTTCGAATACTTTATTTTTTTAACTTCAAAATTTTTTTTCATTTTCTAGTACTTTAGTAGCTGTAAATGAAGATGGACATCTTTTTATTTGGGGACAAAACGAATATGGGCAAATGTGTTCAATTACTGATGAACCTCAAGTTTTCTTAATAAATTTTATTTTTTAATTTATTTTTAAAAAGATATTTCTCCCTCAACATGTTCCTTTTAAATTGGGGAAAATTGTTGGAGCTGAAGCAACTGGAGTTTCATGGTTTTTTTTAATTTTCTTAAAATTTTTAAAATCTTTTTTCAGTATTGTTTGTAATTCTGACGGTCAAGTCTTCACTTGGGGTTCTCATGTACTCGGTTTTGGACCCAAAGTTGAAAAATTAACAAAGCCAATGCAAATTGACCCGCCTTTATTTACTTCAGCAATGAATGAAAAAAATTGGGTTGTTAAGGTTTTTTTATTTTTTCTTAATTTAAAAGGTTTTTTTAAAAGGTTTTTGCTGGTGGTAGTTGTATGGGAGCATTAACTGAAGCTGGACATTTGGTTTATTAAATTTATTTTGAACGATTTTTTTTATAAAATTCTGTTATATGTCCTAGACTTCGTTTCGGACAAACAATACTATGTCATTCGAAAGGGCTCAGTCAACAAGTTGGGTCGAACGAGACAAGAATTAAGCTCCGATCTCTTCCTCTTCTGAAAATCGAAAAACCAGAAGGGGTTTCTATTAAAATCTGCTTGACCCCCTTTGCATTTTTGCTATTATGAAAGCCCAAAACTCGGCTTACAATTGAGAATGGAGCTTATTGGTGGCATTTAACTTAGCTCCGATTTTTGTTTTTATTAAAAAAATTTTTTTAGTTCACTTGGGGTTCAAACAAACACGGTGTTTTGGCACTTTCACATCGAAATCATCAATATTTCCCTTTCCAGGTTTTTTAATTTTTTAAGGAAAATTTTATAAAATTTTCAAGGTTTCTTTTGCTGAAAGTATTAAAGATGCATCTTTTGGCCCACATCATTCGTTATTTTTGACAAATAAAGTTTAAAAAAATATTTCTATTTTTTTAAAATAAATTTATTGTTTTTTGTTTATTTTAATGTTTTTATTTGTTTTTTGACAAATTTATTTTTTTTTTGAAATTTTACTGGGCATGTTTATGCCTTATCGTTTTTAGGCCTAATTTTAATTAAAAATTAAACGATTATAGGACTAAAATAGTTTTTAGTTATAGAGCTTGTTTGTAGCTCAGTCGGTAAAGCTTCTTTCTTTCCCATAACAGTCGACGGTTCGGATCCCATTCGTTTTATTGGTTTGTTTTAATGTTTAATTTTATTTTAAGTGCCTTATTTTTTGTTTTATTGTTCAATTTTATTAAAAAAAATATTTTTTTAGCTTTTTAAATAAAAAATGAAGCAAACAACAGATAATTCTGAAGCAAACAAACTTCACAAAAATATTTTTTGTGACGGTTGTCATAAAGAGATTCGTGGTAGACGTTATAAATGCTTGGTCTGTACAGACTTTGATTTGTGCCATTTGTGTGAGCAGAAGAACGAGCATTTTGGGCACGCTATGATGCGTTTGGTTACTCCAAAAACATTAGTATTTTTTTGAATTTTTTAAAGATTTTCTAGAGACAGGCCAAAAGGGGTGCGCGGCCATAACGGCGCAAGGGCATAACTAGCTGAAAATTTTCAGGCCCTCGACAATTTTGGTACCAATCTCTTTAGCTCGGTGAGAGGAATTGTTTAATACTAAATTTGATAAGATATGGAAATTATGAAGCAAGTTGTGGCTTTGCGGCGTTATGTCCGTGCGCCCTTTTGGGATTGTTAATTAATGATTTTTAATGCACAAATTTTTCCAGTTGCCAGATTTCGTAAAGGCGCAGTTTGAGGACCATCATTTTAAGCAACAAAAGCCGTCAACGAGTCAACAAGGAACTTTAAATCAGAAAAAGTCTGTTGTTAAATCTAAGAAGAAGAAATCTCCAAAGAAGATTCCTCCAAAGAAAATTATTCAAAAAATTACTACAAGGAAGATTCCGTTGCCGATGACTATGAGAATCTGCAAAAGAAGTAATATTAAAGAAGAGCCGGTTTCTGATGTGCTTCAAGTCTGATTGGATCTCTAAAAATTTGGAAATTCTCAAATATTTTTCAAAAAGTAATTTTTAATTTTTTTTAAATTATTTTTTTAAATTTAAAAAGGGATGATTGTTAACAAAAAATAATATGCGTTTTGGCCTAAATTTTCAATTTAAAAAAGTTTAATTTATTTTTTGTTTTTGAATAAAAATTTGTTTGGTTATTAAAATATGTGAAATTTGTTGGTATTCTTGCCAAATTTTTTTATTTAAATTTTAAATTAAATTTTTAATAAAAAAATTTGAAAGCAATAGACAACAAGAGCAAGTAAGACAAAATAAAATATTCAACAAAAAGACGAATTTTGTACCTTGTTCGAGTACAACACCTGTAAGAACAGGTCTAAATTTTTTTGAGGATTTTTCGTTAAAATTTTCGAGAAAATTCCAGGCCTTCGGTTTTGAGAAAATTTTGCATGTTTAAAAATTTTTATTTTGGCATAACGTTTTTTAATTTTCTTTATCAACTAGAGAAACATAAATAAAAATAGGAGAAATATCCCTAATTTTAGAGATTTATACAAAATTTTTGGTTAGAGAAACATATAAAACAATTAAAGTTAGAGAAACACACTATCATTTAAACATGTTACAAAACATGTTTTGTCAACGTCATGCAACTTTATAGAATTCTCATTCTTTTTCCATGTTTTGTTTATTTAAGTGTACTTTTTGGTGATTCATTTTTCATTTTCTATCGAAACTAAAAAGTTTTGTCATATGTTTTTCAGTTTTTTTGTGAAATTTTCTACTCTCTTTCTCTCTCTAATCTAATTATTTTTAATGGCCACCTTTTCTTGCTTAGTTTTTGTCCTTTGTTCATTTTTACTAGGAGGAGAGGGCAAAATGACCTCTCTCTCTCTTTTAATTCCCCTCATCCTTTAAAATCTTCTGGAGAGGGTGACAGGCGTTTAGTCCAATTTTCTTTAAATTTTTGTCTCATATCTAGCTGTAAATTTTGTTTCTTTTGACAACACAGTATTGATTTTAGTGTGTCACTCTATTCCTGTGGACCTTTTCGAGCATATTAAATTTCCTCCAATTTTTCGCTGGACATTAAAATCCTGCTTTATTCTGTGGTCATTTGATTTAATCTAAACTAGAATTTTTATAGTACTTGTGCGTGGTTAAGTTGGTAACGGTTTGGGCTTGTGTTCGAAAAGTCGTAGGTTCGAATCCGCTTGGGGATTTTCTTTTTTTAACTTTAAATTTATACATTTATTTTTTAATTTTTAGTGTTTTTAAATAAAAATGAAGCATCAAAATAATAATTTTGACCATATTATTCATTTAAACGTTATTTGCGATGTTTGTGACCAGATGATTCGTGGACGTCGCTACAAATGCTTAATCTGTCCAGATTTTGATTTGTGTCAATCTTGTGAACAAAAGAATGAACACTTTGAACATGCTATGATGCGATTGGTCAAACCGGATACTTTGGTTTTTTTTTAATTTTTATTTATTTTGAAGAAAAATAAATTTTAGAAGCCGCAAGGGGTGCCGTTTCTTCCTGTTTTTGATTCTGTTGGGAAACTTGTTTCTGATCTGAGTGAAAAACTGACTACCGAAATAAAAGTTCTGTCTACTCCACCGTCTAATGAGAAAGGTTTTGAATTTTCTGGACTCTTAAAATTTTATTTTCAGGTTCTAAAGTTCTCGGTTATGATTTTGATGCTAATAAGGATGGGGCTAATAAGGAATTGACTGAAGTAGAAAAGTTTGAGATTATGGATGGACTTGATTTTTTGTCACTAGAACAACGTGAAGGGTATGAGTGATTTTAGTTATTTTATATAAGTCAAATTTAAAATCTGACTCTGAATTTGGGTGAATAGGTTGATTTAAATTTTCCGGAGAAAAGAATTTTCTTAAATCGGTGGATTTGTGAAGGTCCTCTTGTCAAAATGGCAAACGGGAAGCCTGACCGATATATTTTCGCTTTTCAGAATTTCACTTATTATTGCTGCTTGGAAGGAGGACGGTGACGCAACTCCAGCTAAACTTGATTTGACTAATTTAAAGCCAGTTGTTTTGCGTGAAATTCTTGCGTACATTCGTCATTGTTTGCCTTATCAAAGAGGGGCTCATTCTTGTCGTCATCGCTCTGTTGGTGGATCAAATTGTCATCGTCACTCTCTAGGCAAACATTCGCATCGTCATCAGTCTCAAAATCCAGTTTTGGCACCTATGGAAGCAAATGTTGACCATCGTCCACATCATCACCATTCATGTCATCGACGCCATTACAGGTTTTTTTAATTTTAAATTTTGAACCCTCTGTAAGGAAGGGGAGGATTTAGCTGGATAGATTTAAATAAAGCGCTTACTAGATGGGGTTTAAGATCTATTAAAAGAGAAGGTGGAAGCAGCGCTTTCTCCTCATAGTTTGAGTGGGTCCCTTGTCGGTCGGTAGGGCACCTGTTCGTGGTTAGCGAAAGAGCCTAATAACCGCCAGGAGTCGCAGGATCGATGCTTGCTCGGGCTAAACTTTTACCTCTCTATTACTTGAATATTTTATTGTCACTAGATTTAAATTCAAAAAATTTTAAGACGCAATCTGCCTCCAGTCATTGACAATGTTGTGAATGTTTCTCCAAAATTCTCAACAAACACAACAACTTCTGTAGCTAGTAGTGGAACTTCAAATCAACCAAATTCTAATGTTTTGGCTGATTTTGGTAATGCTGGGTTTCGTGTTGATCGACGTCATAAGAAATTAATTGACAAGATGAATAAAAAGTGTAGCAAATTACAGGCTGAGGTTTTGTTTATTTTTTTATTTCGTTATAATTATGATGCCCTTTTCCAAAAGGGGACACTTTTGAGACCAAAAATTCAAAGTGGGGTTGTATCTTCACGCTTGACGCTTGGGGTCGGTTGTGTAGGTATTTGATGTTTTAAATTTTTCGGGGCTGAATTTGGGTCAAAGATAAATGAAATATCGTTAAGTAACTGGACACAATTCTAGACTATGTGGGTCTTAACTTATCCACATCAAACCAGTAGATCTTTAAAAATTTAGGAACAACGTCTTCGTGACCGCGCCTTTCGTGCTCTTCATCGTTCCAAATGTGTTAATTCTGTGGCTTATCCTTGTGAAAATAATGTTAAACAATCAAAGGAAAGCAACGTGAATGCACCACAGAATAATGGAGTCGGTAATAATAATAATGAGCAGCAACGCCAGCCATTTGATGATGACCGTGTTGAGTATTTGAAGCAAATTGGTGAAACTGTTCAACGAGCTCTTCTTAATTTTGGTTTGATTTTTTTATTTCTATAGCTCTTCAATACCAATTTCCTGAGAAATTTTTTGCAATAATGTCCACAATGAAAAAATTGTCCACAAATATTTTTTGCGGATAATGTTTTTTATTTTTTGAGAATCCTTGATTCTAATGAGTTTTAAAATTTAAAGGAATTGATTGTGAGGCAGATGTTCAAGATGGTCAGGGTAATATTCGAGCACATTTGGCTTTTCCAACACAGCAAACTGCTCCAGTCTCAACTGCTCCAGTTAATAATAACGTTCAAAATGTTTTGAATCCTGAAGTTCATCAAACACCTGCTGGGGTTGTTGAGGTTTCTTTGTTAAAACTTTTTGTTGATTTTTTTCTAAATTTTAGCGTCAACAATTGCTTACCAAGAAACAAGAAGAAATTAAAAAGCAGCCAGTTAAACCTGCTAACAAGGAAATGGATCTTAAGAATGTGGGAGTGGTTCGTTTATTTTTTTTAAGTTTTTTCCATAATTTTTTATCCTATTGATTTTGCTTCACACCAATTATGTCACACGTTGCCAGAAACTGATTCGAAAAAATTTTCAAAACCCGACCCAAAACCCCTCCCGATTTTTTTTCTCAATCCGCGACATCCCTTTCAAACATGTAGCTCTAGGAGTAACCTCTCTCACTAATTCACAAAGTTACTAAAAAATTTCAGAAAAATATGGCAAAACCAGCAGCATCAATTAAAGCAGAAAATAATTTCCAGACATTGATTGCTTTAGCTCAAGATACAATTAAAGGTGTTTCGAATGTTAATATTGCTGAACTTCAAAATGAAAATGGGAAAAAATTGTCTGAAGCTTTTAAAGATATGACTTTACTTGTGAGTTTTTTTCGTAATTTTTTAACTAACAATAAGAAACTAATTTTTAAGATGACTGAAAAGTTTTTGGCTAATGGTGCTGCCAAGTCATTGCCAAAATCATTTCAAGATTATCTTGAGACTCTTGATTTTTCAAATATTTATGGTAACAACAACAATAATCTATCTGGACAACAACCTGTTTCTGGTGTTGCTGTTGATAGAATTGAGGTTTTTTCTTTTAAAAATTTTTTAATTTTTTTTTTTTTAAATTTTTAGAATCAAGTTAAAACTCCAGCTGAACTTCAAAACGAAAACAGCAAAAAATTAGCTGAAGCTCGCAAGGATTTGTTTGCAGGGGTAATTTCATTTTTTAAATTTTCTAAATTATTAAGTTTTTTAAAGATGGCAGAACATTTAAAGGCGAATGGTGCCAAGTCAATGCCAAAATCATTTCAAGATTATCTGGAAACTATTAATTTTCCAAATGTTAATGGGAACAATAAACAACCTGAACAACGACAAAAACAAAAGGCTGTCAATTCGGAGGCACCCAAAATTGAAAATGTCAACAAAAATAATGCTGGGGATCAAATGTCATCATTACAAGAAGGGACGTCTTCTACATCAAAATTAATTCGAAATCTGAGTCAACTTAATTTGAACGATGTGAATCAAGACAAAAATGAAGAAATTAAAGAGAACAAGAAAGAAGAGATGAATTTGGAAGAGAAGAAGAATGAAGAAGAAAAGGAGGAGGAAAGTGAAGAGTTAATATGTATAGATACTCTTTCTCAACCTGGAAGTGAAATTCTTTCTGTCTCTTCTTCGGAATCAGATGTTGAAATTATTGAAGCTGCAAATGTTTTGTCAGAAGGAGATAAGACTGTTAATACTTCAAGTAATGTGGAAAAATTGGAAGATGGGAAGGAAGAAGGCGAGAAAAAAGATGATGGAGAAGAGGATAAGGCTTTGGAACCTGAGGTTTTTTAACTTAAAAAATTATTTTTCAAATTTAAATTGATCGAAAAGTCTGCACTTAAATTTTTAATTCATGGTAAAAATTTGCGGACAAAACTTGCGGACTTTTTTGTTTTCCTACAGATAATTTTTTTATTTGCTTATTTTTCAGCCTTCTCTACCACCAAGTCTTGGTAATACTAATGGAAGTTTAAAACGTCGAATGGATGTTATGAATGCAAGTTTACATACAGCTACAGCTCGTGAAGAATTTGGTGCGGATGATTGTAATGATTCCAATTTGGCTGAATGTTTATCTCGTTGCTGTTCCTTCTCTTCCATTCATTCCACGTCTTCATGTCGTTCTGATTCATCTAGTTGGATTGAGGTTGAACAAGCTTCTTTTAAATCGATTTGTGATAAATATGAAAAACGACGCCGTCTTGATGAAAATGTTGGTGGGAATGAAGGCTTGTTTTAGGGATTTTTATGTTTTGTTCGCAATGGGGGGTCTTAAGTTATCTGAAATCTGAACATTTTTTCGGCTAGAAACAAAAAACGATCTGGCTAAACTGTTTGATTTGAAGTCCGAGCTGAAGCAAGGACTTTCTTCGGCCTGAAAAAACTCGCCGAAGCCCTTTATGACTTTTTTCTCAACTCGTGACCATCCCTGTTTCGCAAAAGGTTTTTTCTTACAAATCCAAATTTTTGGTCGAGAAAGATGAGTAAATTCCTCCAAGAGTTTACAATTGCCCTTATGAATAATAGTTGCGGATTTTACAATAATTTAAAATTTATTTGATTCAGATGCTTCAACTTTGTCTGACCAATACCAATGTTGTAGCAATGATTTGGCTCTTGTTGGAGAGAATTTGGCAAAATCAATGGGAATTGAGCAAGTTTTGAACAATTCGAAGAATTCTGAAGTAATTGAAGAAGAAAAAATGGAAGAGGAAGGAAAGGTTGAAAAAAGTGAAGATAAAATTGAAGAAAACGTAAAGGTTAAAGAAGGACATGGAGAAGAAGAGAAGAATAATAAAAATGACAAGACTTCTCCAATTTTTGAAGAAACTGTTTTGGATTTGAGTAAATCTGTGGTGATTAATGACGAGGATACTAGTGGACAAAGTAAGGGTTTGATTTTAATTTTTTTTATTTTTTTTTTCTGGGACAATATTCAAGGGAGACGCAGGCAGGTAGGGACGTCCGAGACTCTTGGTCTTGAATTTTAATTCCAAGACTTTTCTTGGGGGTTTTTTCGGTCTTGAGTCCTAGAAAATTTCGTTCTCGGATGTCTCTACGGGCGGGTTAACCGACTATATATTTTTCGATAAATATCGAAAAGGGATCGTTTTCGAGCCGGGCTACAGTTCTAACCAACACAGTCGTTTTTTAATACTGCTACTTGTAAAAAAAGTTTTTTTTTGTATTTTTTAGATGAGAAAAATGCTATAATAGAAGAAAATAAAACTGTCAATAATTCATTAAATAATATGGAAATTCCGTGTGTTGATTCATCAAATACTACATTAACAAAAATGTTTAATGATTTTTTGTCTCATTATATGGGTGGTGGATTTACAGCAAATAATAATGGACAAAATGTTGTTGGGGATGGACAGGAAGGAAAGAAGGATGTGGACAATCAAGAGACGGGTTTTTGTAAAAAATATTTTACTAAATTTTAAAAATAATTTTTCAGCTTCGACTACTTTGCCTTTTTCTGCTAATTTCTTCATTTCTCCGCCACCACCACCGCAACAACCTGTTGTTGCTGAAATGCCTTCAGCACCTCCTGTAGCGGCTGAAAATGGAACTCAAACTGACAATGAGGAAGGAAAAGAGGTTTGTTTGTTTTTGTTTTTTAAAAGAAGAGAGGGAGTAAGAATATGTAAAACTTTAAAAATTTTTTTTACAAATTCAGGAAAAGCGTGCCAACATTTACCCTGATTTGGTTGCCCATGCATTATCTCGTAGTGGAATTGTTGATGAAATTTGCACTGCTGGTGCTCCTCATCCTTTTACAATTGCCCAGCCTGGGGGATCGCAACATAGCCGTAAATGTTCGTGGCAGCATTGGGGTGGGTCTTTTTAAAGTATTTTCTGTAGATTTTTTGGTAAAAATCCTCTAATTAAAAAAAATCCTTAAATGGTAAAAATCTTTAAATTAGGTAGAAATCCTTAAATTTGCGGACTTTTATTAACGTTTGCGGATTTCTATAGATTTGCGGATTTTTACTAGATTTGCGGATTTTAATTAATTTAGCAGACTTTTATTAGATTTGCGCACAAATTAAAGATTCATAATTTTCTTTAAAATATATCTTTTTTAAGAAATTAAAGTAAATAACATTGCCAATCAACTTGTGGATATGGGTTATGATAATTGTAATGGATGGCTCTATCGGTTATTTTTATTTTAAATTTAATTAAAAAACTATTTTTTAGTTTGGTCGTAGAAGCAAATTATGACGTTAATCGTGTATTTGAACTTATTGAAGAGGACCCGCTTCATTTGGAACGCCAAATTTTGGCTGATTTGTAAAGAAAAGAAAGAGAGGTTTTCTTATAATTGTGTAGTAGTTTATAGAGAAAAGGAATCAAAAAGTATATATTATTTTTTAGCTATAAGCTTATAATTAATGATTCTTCTTTTTTTGATGGTTCTTATATATCGAAAACTTTAAAAAATATTTGAAATAAAATTTATTTCTCTTAAATTTTTTTTAATTTTTTAATCTGATTTTAAAATTCAGATTTTTTTATTATTTTTGTGTGAATTTCTCATTTAATTTTTTTTAAGATTTAAATTTTAATCTTCCAGTCCATCAGTCAATTTGGCTCTTTTAAATAAAAAATAAGGCAAAAATGACCCCGCTTTTTTATCTGTTCTTTCCCTCATTTAAAAAATAGAGGGGGGGGGGGGACGTTTGTTTTAGTTTGAGGACGATTGAGAAAAGAGCTTGGGGAAAGTTATTTAAAAAATTAGGTCACTAGACAATATTTTTTTATCTTTTTTTGATGTCACAGAAAAATTTTTTTTGAACACGAACATGGGGGAACACTTTGTTTTTCCTTATTTCTCCTAGAAAAAAATACAATTACATCATTTCAAAATTGATTTTTATTGGTCATCAAAAACACTCTCCTCCCTATAACGAGTCACTTAAAAGGGGGCAAATGAATATAGGGGGTCTTTCCATTTTTTTCTAAGTTTACTTGTTTGGTAGCTTAGTTGATGAGCTTGTGTGTCCTTGATTTAGTTATGGATCGTGGCACGAACTTTGCCGTGGAAAAGGCTGACTGAGATCAACGGATACCTCGATCCCCTCTATCTTTTCAAATCCCCTCCTAATCCCTCCAAATCCGCCGATATCCCCGATAATCCTTGAATCTTCCCTTAATCTATACTCAGAATCAATTTAATTTTTTAGCTCAAATATCGGTCCGCAAAATTTGAATCCGCAAACCCGGCCAATCATTTTGTTTTTTTTGTGCTAAATTTCTTTTAAAATTATTTTTAGAATTTTTTAAATTTAAAATGAGCAAGCAAAATAATTTTGAACAGTTTCTTCATGTAAACATTGTCTGTGACAGTTGTGATAAGGAAATTCGGGGACGTCGTTACAAATGCTTAATCTGTCCAGATTTTGATTTGTGCCAATCTTGTGAACAAAAAAATGAACATTTTGAACATGCAATGATGCGTTTGGTTAAGCCGGATACTTTGGTTTATTTTAATTTTTTTCTTTTTAAAAATAAATTTTAGAGACCTCATTATCTTTGTAAAACTCCACCTACACAGATTGAAAAAATGGCGCAAGTTTTCAACAAGGCTTGTTCTAGCTTTGTTTCAGGCTTTCAATCACCCTCAACAACACCAACTGCTGCCACATCTCGACGTCAGTCATCTCCTGTTACTATTAAATTTGAGGCTGAAGCAAAGGGATTGACTCAAGATGAAAAGTGGTTTATTCTGGAGGCGCTTGATAATCTTTTGCCACAACAACATGACGAGTAAGTGAATTTGTTTTTTAGTTTGACTTGAAGTTTTGGAGGATTAAGGGATTTTCTGTAGGCGCTAGCACAATGAGCCGCAAAATTATCGAATCCGTGACGCTTTGGTATTGTTCAATTCAGCTCGTCCATGAGCATCGGACCATGCCTAAGCGTTAAGGATTCGACATTGGCCTGCTCCTACGTGGGAATAGGCACGAAATCATATTTTTGAATTTTAAACTCATTTTATTATTTTTCAGAATTTCAAAAATTCTCGCTGCGGCAAAGGAGAAGGATGACTCAACACCAACCAAACTTGATTTGGATGCTTTAAAGCCTGCTGTTTTGCGTCAAATTCTTGCCTACATTCAACGTTGTCTGCCTTATCCAAAAGGAGCTCGTCGTTTTGGCTCTGTCAAGCCTTCTGTTTGTCATCGTCATTCTCTGAGCAAATATTCGGCTAATCACCGTCATTCTTCTCAAAATCCAAGTTTGGCTACTATGGGAGAAGCAACTTCTGATCATCGTCCAAATCATCACCATTCTTGTTCTCGACGTGCTTCCATGTATTTTTTATTTTTACTACCAAATTTACGGTCCGTCTACCCTGTACCCTAAAAAAAAATTTTTTTGTCCGCAAAAAATTGTCCGCAAAAATTTTATTTTCTCTAAAATTACAGGCAAGTTCCTGTTTGTGACATTGAAAACGTTCTCAAAGTCGCACATCAAAAATTTGCAGCTAAGGCAGCATCTTCAAAAACTTCTGCATCAACTCTAAGAGCTCAAGTAATTGAAAATTTAAATAAGGATCTTGACGAGACTTATAAAAAGCAGAAAAGGATTACTGAGGAATTTAAAAAAAGTATTGCTAAACGAATTGCTAAAGAGCCAAATACTTTGACGACTCAGGTTTTTTTTTGAATTTGTGAATTCCTTCAAATTTGAAATATTTTTTTAGAATTCTGTTGCTTCTCAAAACGAAAGTAATGTTAAACAACCTGAAAATAATAAGGAAAAGGATCAAAATAAGGAAGTTGTTAATAACAATAAAGAGAAGCAACCACAGTCATCTGATGAGCGTGCTGAGTTTTTGAAGCAAATTGGAGAAACTGTTAAACAGGCTCTTCTTAATTTTGGTTTGATTATATTTTATTCTTTTATAAGGCTTTCCAATACTAATTTGTTAGAAAATAAATTTGTCCGCAAATAAAAATTCGCAAATATTTTATGGGCCTGATTAAAAAATTTTTAAATTTTTTGAAGAGACCACTGGACTTGAGCTGCAACCTAAATTTTTTTAATTTAAAGGAATTGAGTGTGAGGCATCTGTTCAAGACAGTCCGCGTAATATTCGCGCACATTTGACTTTTCCAATACAACCATCTGCTCACGTCAATAATAATGTTCAAAATGTTTTGAATCCAGAAGTTCATCAAACACCTGCTGGGGTTGTGGAGGTTGTTTTTTATTAAAATTTTTGTTGATTTTCTAAATTTTAGCGTCAACAGTTAGCTTTATCTCAAAATTCAACTGCTATGACAGAACTTGAACAATTAGAGCGGCAAAAACGAGTTAAGGCTTATCTTTATTTGACGGGGGCTAGTCATGCGGCTGAAAAAACTGTTCAAAAAACTGTTCAGTGAAAAAACTTTCTATACATTCTATTAAGGCTAGCATTAGACTTATTTTAGTATATAGACCACCAGCAATTACTAGCTCACTTACTATTAAACTTTTAAAAATCCTTCAAAATCTCTGCGAAGGAAATGTTATTATTGTAGGCGATTTTAATTTTAACGCTAATAATATTAACTGGAATGATAATACCGCCTTTACAAAATGTGCTAAAGAATTTCTTGAATTTACCAATAACTTTAATCTTAATAATGTCATTACATCACCCACTCACAATAAAGGTTCTATACTAGACCTGCTACTCACGAATAATCCTAATTCTATCTGTTCTTGCCATGTTAGTGCAGGTTTATCTACTTCAGACCACTTTTCTATTCTTTTTACCCTTAACATGGCTAAACCCAACCCTCAAAAAATCTGCTTTAGGGATTATACTAATGTAAAACAATTAAATTCTTACTTAATCTCTCATTTTAATTGTATATATGAAAAATTCTATATATCAGATAAATACGAATACTTACTTGAACTTGTCTCAACTCTCATGGAAAAATATACTCCCTTACGCACAATAACCGTAAAACAAAAATCGTTTAATTATCCTTCACATATTAGGAAACTCATCAAATATAAGAAAAAACTATTTACAGAGTTTAAAAAATCAGATTGTGGCCTAGAAGAATATATTAATGTTTCCAAAACAATTAAACATCTTGTTAACTCTTACAAATCACAAAGAATTAAATCAATAGTAAGTAACCGTAAAAACATGACCAAATATATGAAAAACCTGACTCAGAAATATTCTCCTATATCATGTTTAGAGCATAACAATACTTTTATTTTCGATGATCAGGCCAAATGTAATTTATTTTCTTCTGTTTTTGCAAATTCTTTTTCTAATCTCCCTAGATTTGATCCTCCTAAATTAAGCCCATGTAACTTCATAAATGCCCTTGAAGATATCGAATTTAGTCTATTAGATATCGATAATATATTAAAGAATTTACCTAACAATAACTGCTGTTCTGAGGATGGTATAAGCTATACCTTGCTAAAAAATTGCCATTCGTCTATTACACCTTTCCTATCTGATATTTTTAGATTGTCATTGGATTCAGGAATTCTACCTCATTCTTGGAAAGTCTCACATATCACACCTGTTTTTAAGAAAGGGGATAAAACTATTGCAGCAAACTATAGACCCATTTCTATTACATCGGCTATATGTAGAGTGCTAGAACGTATCATACTTAACAGTTTACTGACCCATTTAGAAGAAAACAAAATTATTAGTGAAAGCCAATTTGGATTCTTAAAAAAGCGTTCTACAACTACCCAACTAATATTTACATTCTCTCACTGGTATAGAGCTATACTTGAAAATAAAAATGTAGACTGCGTATATATTGATCTTAAGCATGCCTTCGACTCTGTCCCCGTCAAATTCTTGATTTATAAATTATTTAACATAGGAGTTAGGGGGAAATTACTTAACTGGATCTCATCATTTCTAACAGATCGTACAGCCAAAGTAAAAATTAACACAACATTTTCTACATCTTTTAAAATATATTCTGGCGTTCCCCAAGGATCTATCTTAGGACCCATTTTATTCTTAATATATATAAATGATTTAACCTTCTATATTCCCAATAATGTTAGTAAATGTTTATTTGCTGATGATCTTAAGATTTTTCAAGTATTTAAAAATTCAGAAAATACTAATTCACTACAAAATGCCTTAAATATAATTTCTCAATGGAGTTCCGATTGGGCACTCGAAATATCTACGCAAAAAACATTTGTTCTAAATATTGGCTCCAAAAATCCTAAATATACATATACACTCAATGGTGACATTTTACAAATAACATCTGTAATAAAAGACCTTGGCATTACCCTTACCAATGACCTTTCCTTCGATTTACACTATAATATTATTATCAGGAAAGCCTATGCCAGAGCTTCTTCAGTTCTTAATAGCATACACACTAGCAATCCTAAGGTATGGGCTCTTGCCTTTAAATCCTACGTTAGGCCATTACTAGAATATGCCACAGTTATCTGGAGTCCAAAAACTAAGTATCTCGTGGAAAAAATCGAAAAAATCCAAAAATGGTATACTAGGATCGCTTTATCTAAGTGTAAGATTACCTATAAAAGTTACTCTCAAAGATTAATTCTCTTCGATCTCGAATCATTAGCATTAAGACGCTCATTATATGATCTATCAACTATTTATAGGATTATCTTTAAATTTACACATTTAAGCTTTAACGATTTATTTGAGCTCAACGATAGACCTAGTCGAAATAGACACAAGTTTCAAATTAAGGTCCACCGAAAAAACAGTAAAACCGAACATTGGCTCATAAACAGAGCTGTAAACCTTTGGAATACAATACCTGCTTCAATTATAAACTCACCAAACCCAAAGATTTTTTGGATTGCGCTCAGGTCATATTTAATAAATTTGGAGAGCTCAAACACTTGTTTTGTATACTACTAGCTAAAAATCCATAAAACCTTACTAATTTTGACTGTTTGTGTTGGCATACCATAACTGTTCATTTGACGTTTATATTTTGACATTTTCCTTTTAGAAATATATATTTTGTATTTTACATTTTGACATTTCCCTTTTAAAAATATATATTTTGTATTTTACATTTTGACCTTTTCATAATTTAGTAATATCTCCACTTGTTTTTTCCCTCCCTCATTTTTTGCATTCACTGCATTAATGTATAAGTTTTTTTAATACTTTATAAGCATTTTTAAAACACATTGAGAAACAATTGGATTTATTATTTTTTTCTAATATTTATATAACTCAAATTTTAAGATTTGCAATTTAAAGCACCTGTGCATTTCAATTTTTCTTAAAAATGTCTACAACAAACAAGCGTCCACATTCTCCCAGATTAAACAACTTGGGTAATCAACTCATATAAACTTCCTTACAGTCTGTGGACACTCTTTGTTTTATACACTATTGTGACTTGTATTTTTTTACTTTTTGTTTTATTTTTATCATTTTTATATGCTTTGTTTTACAATTGTTTCACAATTTTTATCTGAATGTTAGTGACCTTCTTATAAGGTCCTTTTCAGTGAATAAATAAATTAAATTAAATTAAAATTAAAAAACTATTTTTTAGTTTGGTCGTAGAAGCAAATTATGACGTTAATCGTGTATTTGAACTTATTGAAGAGGACCCGCTTCATTTGGAACGCCAAATTTTGGCTGATTTGTAAAGAAAAGAAAGAGAGGTTTTCTTATAATTGTGTAGTAGTTTATAGAGAAAAGGAATCAAAAAGTATATATTATTTTTTAGCTATAAGCTTATAATTAATGATTCTTCTTTTTTTGATGGTTCTTATATATCGAAAACTTTAAAAAATATTTGAAATAAAATTTATTTCTCTTAAATTTTTTTTAATTTTTTAATCTGATTTTAAAATTCAGATTTTTTTATTATTTTTGTGTGAATTTCTCATTTAATTTTTTTTAAGATTTAAATTTTAATCTTCCAGTCCATCAGTCAATTTGGCTCTTTTAAATAAAAAATAAGGCAAAAATGACCCCGCTTTTTTATCTGTTCTTTCCCTCATTTAAAAAATAGAGGGGGGGGGGGACGTTTGTTTTAGTTTGAGGACGATTGAGAAAAGAGCTTGGGGAAAGTTATTTAAAAAATTAGGTCACTAGACAATATTTTTTTATCTTTTTTTGATGTCACAGAAAAATTTTTTTTGAACACGAACATGGGGGAACACTTTGTTTTTCCTTATTTCTCCTAGAAAAAAATACAATTACATCATTTCAAAATTGATTTTTATTGGTCATCAAAAACACTCTCCTCCCTATAACGAGTCACTTAAAAGGGGGCAAATGAATATAGGGGGTCTTTCCATTTTTTTCTAAGTTTACTTGTTTGGTAGCTTAGTTGATGAGCTTGTGTGTCCTTGATTTAGTTATGGATCGTGGCACGAACTTTGCCGTGGAAAAGGCTGACTGAGATCAACGGATACCTCGATCCCCTCTATCTTTTCAAATCCCCTCCTAATCCCTCCAAATCCGCCGATATCCCCGATAATCCTTGAATCTTCCCTTAATCTATACTCAGAATCAATTTAATTTTTTAGCTCAAATATCGGTCCGCAAAATTTGAATCCGCAAACCCGGCCAATCATTTTGTTTTTTTTGTGCTAAATTTCTTTTAAAATTATTTTTAGAATTTTTTAAATTTAAAATGAGCAAGCAAAATAATTTTGAACAGTTTCTTCATGTAAACATTGTCTGTGACAGTTGTGATAAGGAAATTCGGGGACGTCGTTACAAATGCTTAATCTGTCCAGATTTTGATTTGTGCCAATCTTGTGAACAAAAAAATGAACATTTTGAACATGCAATGATGCGTTTGGTTAAGCCGGATACTTTGGTTTATTTTAATTTTTTTCTTTTTAAAAATAAATTTTAGAGACCTCATTATCTTTGTAAAACTCCACCTACACAGATTGAAAAAATGGCGCAAGTTTTCAACAAGGCTTGTTCTAGCTTTGTTTCAGGCTTTCAATCACCCTCAACAACACCAACTGCTGCCACATCTCGACGTCAGTCATCTCCTGTTACTATTAAATTTGAGGCTGAAGCAAAGGGATTGACTCAAGATGAAAAGTGGTTTATTCTGGAGGCGCTTGATAATCTTTTGCCACAACAACATGACGAGTAAGTGAATTTGTTTTTTAGTTTGACTTGAAGTTTTGGAGGATTAAGGGATTTTCTGTAGGCGCTAGCACAATGAGCCGCAAAATTATCGAATCCGTGACGCTTTGGTATTGTTCAATTCAGCTCGTCCATGAGCATCGGACCATGCCTAAGCGTTAAGGATTCGACATTGGCCTGCTCCTACGTGGGAATAGGCACGAAATCATATTTTTGAATTTTAAACTCATTTTATTATTTTTCAGAATTTCAAAAATTCTCGCTGCGGCAAAGGAGAAGGATGACTCAACACCAACCAAACTTGATTTGGATGCTTTAAAGCCTGCTGTTTTGCGTCAAATTCTTGCCTACATTCAACGTTGTCTGCCTTATCCAAAAGGAGCTCGTCGTTTTGGCTCTGTCAAGCCTTCTGTTTGTCATCGTCATTCTCTGAGCAAATATTCGGCTAATCACCGTCATTCTTCTCAAAATCCAAGTTTGGCTACTATGGGAGAAGCAACTTCTGATCATCGTCCAAATCATCACCATTCTTGTTCTCGACGTGCTTCCATGTATTTTTTATTTTTACTACCAAATTTACGGTCCGTCTACCCTGTACCCTAAAAAAAAATTTTTTTGTCCGCAAAAAATTGTCCGCAAAAATTTTATTTTCTCTAAAATTACAGGCAAGTTCCTGTTTGTGACATTGAAAACGTTCTCAAAGTCGCACATCAAAAATTTGCAGCTAAGGCAGCATCTTCAAAAACTTCTGCATCAACTCTAAGAGCTCAAGTAATTGAAAATTTAAATAAGGATCTTGACGAGACTTATAAAAAGCAGAAAAGGATTACTGAGGAATTTAAAAAAAGTATTGCTAAACGAATTGCTAAAGAGCCAAATACTTTGACGACTCAGGTTTTTTTTTGAATTTGTGAATTCCTTCAAATTTGAAATATTTTTTTAGAATTCTGTTGCTTCTCAAAACGAAAGTAATGTTAAACAACCTGAAAATAATAAGGAAAAGGATCAAAATAAGGAAGTTGTTAATAACAATAAAGAGAAGCAACCACAGTCATCTGATGAGCGTGCTGAGTTTTTGAAGCAAATTGGAGAAACTGTTAAACAGGCTCTTCTTAATTTTGGTTTGATTATATTTTATTCTTTTATAAGGCTTTCCAATACTAATTTGTTAGAAAATAAATTTGTCCGCAAATAAAAATTCGCAAATATTTTATGGGCCTGATTAAAAAATTTTTAAATTTTTTGAAGAGACCACTGGACTTGAGCTGCAACCTAAATTTTTTTAATTTAAAGGAATTGAGTGTGAGGCATCTGTTCAAGACAGTCCGCGTAATATTCGCGCACATTTGACTTTTCCAATACAACCATCTGCTCACGTCAATAATAATGTTCAAAATGTTTTGAATCCAGAAGTTCATCAAACACCTGCTGGGGTTGTGGAGGTTGTTTTTTATTAAAATTTTTGTTGATTTTCTAAATTTTAGCGTCAACAGTTAGCTTTATCTCAAAATTCAACTGCTATGACAGAACTTGAACAATTAGAGCGGCAAAAACGAGTTAAGGCTTATCTTTATTTGACGGGGGCTAGTCATGCGGCTGAAAAAACTGTTCAGGAGACTGCAAAGGACAGCGAAGAAATTTTGGAAATTCATGTATTTTTTTAATAACTATTTTGATTTTTTAAAATTCTTTTAGTGTTCTCAACCAAGTAGTGATGATGTTATGAAGCTCAGCATGCATACAGCTATTGGGATTGATGAGGGAGACAACTCTTCTTCTAATAATGAGGATATTATGAAGAGCAGTGTTCATACAGCTATTGGTATTGATGAAGAAGTTTCTCCTAAAAATGGTGATGTTATGCAGCTTAGCACTCATACAGCCATTGGAATTGATGAAAATGATAAAGGTTTGACTTTGAAACTCTTTGAAATAAAGTTTCAATTTTAGAAATTAATTCTGAGACATTAAAACGAAAAGAAGATTTAAAGGTTGTAGTTAAGCCAACTCTTCCAGAAAATAATGGTCAAAATGTTTTGAGTCGTCAAGAGGAGTTGCTTTCTCCGATGAGTGTTGTTGAGGTTTTTTGTAGAAATTATTTTTCAAATTTATTTATCAAAAAGGTCTGCACTTACTTTTTGAATTGTAACATTTAAAATTAGTTCTTATGGGACACGCCGTAAACCAGACGCCGAAGTACCAAACCCCTCCCCCCTCCCTCAAAAACATCAGCTTGGAAGATTGTTAAAATCCAAATTTTGGTGTTTGCCAGTCTTTCAGGATTTTGGTCGGTATTACCGGCGTCATTCCCTTCTTATTCTATTTTATGATAAATTTGCGGACAAAACTTGCGGACAATTTTTTGTTCTTCAACAAATTATATTCTAATTCTCTTAATTTTCAGCCTTCTCTACCACCAAGTCTTGGAGCAAGCAATGGAAGTTTAAAGCGTCGTATGGATGTTATGAAGGCTAGCACGCATACAGCTATAGCTATTGGAGATGAATATGGTGGCAAAGGTATGAAAATGATTTATTGAAATTTTTTGAAAATTTTTTTAGTCGAGGATTGTAATGAATCTGATATGGTTAATAATTTGTCTCGTTGTTGCTCATTTTCCTCTCTTCATTCTTCCACTTCTGGTTCAAGCTGGATTGAGGTTGAAGAAGTAGAAGAACAGACGTCTTCAAAGAAGCTTTCTGAGAAGTTTGGGACACCAAAATCTTTTTATGAAATTGTTTCGGGAAATGAAGGTTTTCTTCTTTTTAACGAAGTTTTTTTGGGTTGGGAGAAAATTTTTTAGAAATTCACTGCTGATCAATATAACCGACAAAAATAATAATTTTTCCCATTTATCTCATGTCAATGCAATTTGGTGTAAGAACCTTCAATAAGTATAAACTCCCAAAATTCAAAAAATATAACAAAAAATTTTTGGAAAAGCCACTCATTGTATTTTGAAAACCTTTAGATGTCAAATATTAATTTACAAAAAATAAGAATTCATTAGATTTGATAACAATTTTTTAATTTTTAGTAAGTCCAGACACAACATTCACTGCTGAACAATTTCATAGCTGCAATAATAGTACTGTTGGTGATCCTGTTGATTCTACTAAAGAGACTATGTAAATGAATCTTTTTTGTTCATAAGAATGTGGGGGCAAGATGAGGGAGAAGAAACTGTTTATAGTTAAGGAAAAGGTTTTTTTTTTAATTTAAATCGATTTTTACTTTAATCTTTTTTTTTAATTTTTTTATTTCTTTAAAATTTAAATAAGGGGAATGTTGATTTAAATTTTTTATTAAAAATTGGGGGTGTCAGAAAATTTTTTGGGGTTTCTAAATTTCAACACCTCCCCTTTTTCTTGTGTATACTTTTCTTTTACTTAAAATTGATTTTAAAAATTATTTGATTTTTTGATTATGAATAAATACGCCTTTTTATTTTGATTTTATCTTGCTTTGTTTCAACAGGAGTGCTCGATAACTGCACAGTCAATTCCTTTTTATTTTTTATTCGACTGTTATTTTACCCATTCAGTCTTTTTAGCCGTTGGCCTTCCGTAACTTTTTGAGCAACTTGACCTTTTGGCTGTTAGACGTTTTGACCCCTTTTTGGCCTATCGATCTTTTAAGCCATCGACATTTTTTTCTAATTTTACATTTTCGGCCTTTTAAGCAGTGCTCCCCGTTTGTGTGTTACTGTTTTTATTGACACGTGTAATTCATTTTTACGGGTTTTCCTTGCCACATTTTTAATTTTTTTACTTGAATTTACACGTTTTTAAATATATTTTTTTATATTTTAAATTTTAATCCTTTGCCACGATTTTTTTTCTTTTTAAATTTCTTGTTTATTAAATAAACCACAAAACCTTTTCAGTTAATCATTATTTTTTTCTTAATATAACACATTTTATTTTTCCTTCAATTAACTAGAAAGAGGAGATTTTTATTTTTTTCTGTCTTATCCTCTCCCACTAGTAATTTATTAACGATCGAAAAATGTTTAGCTTGTGTTATAGCATTTATTTTCTAAATTTGTCTGATGGGTTGTGTGGTCTAGTTGGTAGTGATTTTGTCTTACTGGGTGGGTGTCGAGGGTTCGAAGCCTTTTGCTATTAATTTTTTTTTTATTTTGATTATAAAGAGTTTGACAGGTTTACTAAACAATTTAAATTAAAATTTCATCGATTTTTTAATTTTTTTACCTCGTTTTCGTTTATTTTTCTTGCTAATTTTTTCTTTTTTTAGTTATTTTTAGAAAATTAAATTATTTTTTAATTAATTTATTAAAAATGAAAGCTCTTATTCTTGTTGGTGGCTATGGAACTCGACTTCGACCTCTTACTTTGACACAGCCCAAACCTTTGGTTGAATTTGCTAATAAACCGATGGTTCTTTTAATTTTTAAGAAAAGGATTCAAATTTTTTTAATTTTCAAGGTTTCTCATCAAATTGAAGCTCTTGCCGCTGCTGGTGTTGACACAGTTATTTTGGCAGTTACTGCTCGAATTGAAAATTTGTTGAGTGCGGAGATGCAGAAAGAAGAACAACGTGTTGGGGTTAAGGTTAATTTTGTTTAAAATTTTTTAAAGTTTACTGGCCGGGGTCGGGCATACTTTCGGTTGATCTTCGCAACATTGTCAAAGCTTATATGTAAAGCATAACTATGTTTATGGTGATAAGTAAGTTGTCGGTTCAATATTGAACCGAATTTTACTTTCCGATTCTTTGGTGTTCGATTCCAGATATCAAAGATTTTCCAAGAACCAACAACCTTAATAACAAAATTATCTTGACATTTTTATGTATTTTTGTTGTGATTTTGCGGTCCTCGCCCATCTTCTTTCTCACAAATCAGCTTCAAAACGGGAGTATTCTCCTTTCGGTTTCCTAGTTCTCGGGTTCTCCTTGCTAAACACACTTTTCTGCCTTTTTAAATTCCTGCTTTTAAATCCACTTTTTTATTTCCTAATGTTGTTTAGCTATCGCCTAGTTAATGACGTTCCCCTTCCAATTTGCCCATCCTATTAATTTTCCAACTTTAAACTATCAAAAGTTTTAATTTTCTCAAATTCAGATAATCTTCTCTGTAGAGGAAGAGCCAATGGGAACTGCTGGACCTCTTGCTTTAGCCGCTAATTTATTAAAAGAAAGTGACGAGCCTTTTTTTGTATTAAATTCTGACGTTATTTGTTGTTTTCCTTTTAATGAAATGATGGAATTTCACAAAAAACATGGACAATGTGGAACTATTGCTGTTACCAAAGTTGGTTTTTTAAATTAATTAAGTAGTTGTATGGTCTAGTTGCTTGAAATCTCAGTTGACCCTCGGGGTCATTTTCATTGGGGTTGATCCATTTTAAATTTCTAAAGTTATGCATTTAAGTTAAGACCCATTTAAAGTTTTTAACCGGATATGCCTAGTTTGTCAACTCCAGATATTTGGGCGGATAAAGTTGAATCAAGGATATGTTGGCCTACTCCTTTTTGCTCTATCTAATAGTTACAGTTGGATTAATCCCTTGGATTAATCCCTTTTAAAAATTTAAAGGTAGAAGAACCAAGCAAATATGGAGTTGTTGTTTTTGACGAGGAAAAGACTGGGAAAGTCGATTCTTTTGTTGAAAAACCTCAAGAATTTGTTGGAAATAAGGTTTCTTTTTAATTTTGTAAATTAAAAAAAATTCTCAAAAAAAAGATCAATGCGGGTCTCTACGTTTTAAATCCTTCAGTATTGGATACAATTCCTTGTGCTCCTTGTTCTATTGAAAAAGAAATTTTTCCAAAAATGGCAGATAATGGAATTTTGCATGCTTATGTTTTGAAAGGTTTTTGGATGGATGTTGGACAACCTAAAGATTTTTTGGAAGGTCTGATTTTGTGAAATTTTTTTTTGAGATTTATTCCAGGTTCTTTCTCCAAAAAAAATTTTTTTTGGTTTGATTAGTAAGTCACAAGCATTAGAGGGCTTTCCGGTAAATATGTCAATATATTTCTGCCTTGGAAATCCTCGCTTGGGGCGTCCATCAAAAAATTTTATTAGGACCTACCGGTATAACAGAGTGCCAATGATAGAGGTTATTACTTGAGATCTGCCTGGGTCTGTATCCAGACTTTGATTTTCCTGTATCCAAAGTCAAGATTAAGACATTTCCTTGATTTTTTCTTGGCTTAAGGTCCTCAATCAAAATCAAGTCTTTTTAAACTTCTGAAGTTATAACTTTTTTTGATTCGAAATTTGTGTCTATATTTGAAATTCTATCTCCCAAAATTTAACAAATAATTTTTAGGTGTTCGTCTCTATTTAAAACACATTGCCGGTACCGACACTGCAAAAATTCCTGAACATCTTTTAATTAATGGGAATGACGATGGAAAACGTTTAACTGGACTTCATTTAGTTGCTCCGGTTTTAATTGATCCGTCTGCACAGATTTCTTCGGGTAAAAATTTTTTTAAATTTTTTGACCGCAAAAAAAATTGCGGACAAAAAATTTTTTTCGGACATTCTTTTTTACTTAAAATTTATTTTTTTTTAAAGATTGTTGTATTGGCCCAAATGTATGTATTGGTGCAAGTGTTAAAATAGAAGAAGGTGTTCGTCTTGTTGACTCTTCAATACTTCCAGACACTACAATTCATGCTCACAGCTTTATTTCTAATAGTATTGTTGGGAGAAAATGTGTTGTTGGTTAGTTTTTAATTTTTTCTTTTCTGAATTTTTTAAAAATTAAAAAAAAATGGAAAAAATTTTATGTCCGCAATAAATTTGCGGACAAAATTTTTTGTCCGCAAAAATTTTTTTCTCATTTTTAATAATTTCTTCCAATTTTTAACAGGTAAATGGGTCCGTATAGAAAATACCAGCATTATTGGTGAAGATGTGGTTGTTAAGGATGAACTTTATTTGAATGGTTTCTTGAATTTCTTTTAAGAATTTCTCTAAATCTAATTAAAGGTGCTTGTGTTCTTCCACACAAATCAATTGCCGCAAGCGTGCCAAATCCAACAATTATTATGTAAAAAAGATTGACAAAAAAGTGCTTTGTTTTTTGGTTTTAAATGGTTTATTTTTTAAAAATGTTAAAATAAGGGAAATTCGGGGGGAGGAGGGAGATTGTTCATGAATGGAGGGGGGAGAGGTCTCTTCCCAAAGGGGTTTTCTCAAAATCACGTCTCTTCCACATCTTTCGGGATTTTTTTTTCAAAATCAGCTTAAATTTTCTTTTATTTTTCAATTTTCTGGGGTCTGTATCTTGGCGCAAAGTTAAGACCAGGGGTTAATTTTGGTGTCATTCGATACAGCTCGACGAGTTTTATAACCTAAGACTGACTGACCATTTTTAATACTTTTAAAGCGCAAAAAGGAGTGGGGGTCTCATCCGAACTATTACCGGGTTTTTTTCAAAATCAGTCTATATAACGTAAATTGGGGTTAAATAGGCCCTCCCAAAATATTTTTTTGAAAAACATTCGTGGACAATCTCTCCTGCGCACATTTTGTTAGAAATTTTTTAAATTATTTTAAGACCAACGTGATTCTAATTTCTTTTTTTTTTAATTTAAATATTTTCCTTTCATTTTTGTTGTCTTTTTTGACTATCCTTTTCTGTTATATTTATTTTTTTATTGTACAAATTAATCTTTCAACAATTTTTATTTATTTCTAAAATTCTAAAAAAGAAAATTTTCACTTAAGCAATAATTAAATACCAAAAATATATTTTTTTTGAATTTAAAAAGAATAAAATTATACATTTTTATCTGATTAAAAATTGTTTTTTCTAGATTTTTGTATAGCTTATTTGTAATAAATGCGACAAAAAATCGAGATTAGCGGTCGAGATTTTTTAAAATTTTCTTTACAACTTTATTTTGTTCTACAACTGTCTGTAGTCAGTTTAGTGTGAACATCAGACGAGGCTCGTTAATTCGATTTTATACTAATATTTCGAATTTGACGCTAGAAGAGAGAATCTTTTAGTATTTTCAAATCGGTCGGTCCGTCGCACTGAACTGTCCTTATTTTCGCTCGCACTGAACTGACCTCAACTCTCTAACTGTTTAATGTCTCTTTATTTCCCGTACTCTTTTACATTTATTGATTTTATTGTTTAGACATG